ACTTATTTTAATAAAACAAGCATCTGTAACTCAATGATTGTGTTCTGTGTGTGTGGGAATTTCTGCATATTTTAGGAAATACAAACACCCTGTAGCCACAGAAGCAATTGCAGGTGGAATTTGAAGTGTGACCTAATACTAAAAATATCCAATGCCACAAAATGTAAACTCAGATGTGGTAGCATGAATTTATATACATTTACAGTTCAAAAAAATTAGCAGATTGCCTGAGTTGAGTTCTTAAAACTCTGTATAACATACAAGATGGCTGTGACATTTCGAAAGAATGTAAATTTTAACTGTTTATAACTAGTGCTCTATTGTCAAAATTATAAGTGCATTACACTGACAGAGTTCCAAAGCTTTTTCACTGGGCCTCAGTGTAGTTTCGCCTGTAGACTGAATGTCATTATTTACAGTAAACCAGTTCTACCAGAAAACCCCCTGGAAGAAGAATCATTATTTTCATCCTCTTACTCCAATGACATTAGGGACATACTTTGCAGCTATTGAAAATTTGATATATAATCCCTCTCTTATGTTTTGCATTGATAACAATATTAAATCACCACTAGATGGCACACACATTCTGGAAGTTTGTAAAATTAGTAGTTTAACATGAAATGGATATTGGAAAAGAGGAGATTTGGAACTAGAGGAGTTTTTCAAACTGTGCATCTCCAGGTGCTTTGAACTTCATCTCCTACAATTCCTAACAGCTGGTAAGATGGTCGGGATTTCTGGAAGCTGAAGTCCAAAATAACAATTTCATATTTATCACCAGGTACTACATTTATTAGGACAAATCAAATGTAAAATTTTAGACAAGCTTTTCCGAATCTATAGTTTATCAAGAAGAAATGTTAGGAAAAGCATGGTATAGGAAGCAAGAAAAATAAACGATTGGCTTTAAATTTAATTGAGAAGGTGGAGCAGATGAAGAAGAGCACACTGAAAAAAATGAAGACCATGACTAGGTGTCATGGAATTTTTTTGGTTACATCTAAGACAAACACATTAGCCAATTATTTTGAAAATATGTAAGAAACTCATAATTGTTTCCAACTTCAAATGAAACATACACTTGGTAGGTAGAGAACAAAAGTAAAGAGAAACATTAGTTTTTACGTCAGCAAAGTAAAGTTGGCATGAAGTCCAAAAAGTGAACAAAAGGAAAAGCACAAGAAAAATGTAATATTCCACACAATTCATTCACAAATGTAATTTTTTTTATCAATTCAGTTGTAATTCTGATGCTCCAGTGTGATTTCTTGTGTCACTCTTGGTGTTTTCTATCAGTAAAGTGTTTTAAAGCCTATTAGAAGACTTTAATCCATTTCTTACTGTTATCCTTTACCTCAAGAAATCTTATTTATTACAAAATGAAAAGTCAAAGAAAGTTGTGAATCAAAACAACAACAAATAATCTGAATGGGATGGAGCTCATTTTTAGTTTAGAATGCCAAATTACTCTAAAACCAGCCTACATTTCTATAAAAGAAAAGCAAAAATGTTAAATGATGGTTAATAATTATTATTTTCCATCTGTTGTTAATGTCAACATCCAATTCGCATTGTATGGAGACAAAGCCTATAAGGTGTTAGTAGTCACCTAAAAATGTTGCACATTTGAAAATGCAGTTCTTTCCACACACAAAAAGGAAGCAGTTACTCTGGAGAACTGTAAATCAACGGGGAGTGGGAAATAATCTCAATCTCCCACTGGCTCCTGACTCTCCAGGAATTGTATTTCCAGTTTCTTTTTAAATAACCTGTATTGGGTTTTCGTTGTTTTATGCAGGATTACAAAGTTTTTGTTCTACTGAGGGCCCTTACACACAGCCATATACCCCAGAATATCAGGGCAGAAAATCCCACAATGCCTGCTATAAAATGAGTCCACACTACCATATATGTGAACAACTCTCATGTTACAGCAGTTCTACTGGCTGCCGCTCTGCTTCCAAGTTAAATACAAACTGCTGGTTATTACCTCTAAAGCCCAAATGGTTCAGGCCCTGACTATCTGAAAAACTGCATCTTCGAATACAAACCAGCACAACACTGTGGTCTGCAGACAAAACACTGCTCTCAGTCCCACTCCCATCTCAAGCGCAGCCGCTCCCCGCCTCTGGAACTTCCTCCCTGAAGAACTAAAAATGGCCCCTTCTATCCTCTCCTTTAAAATGCTTTTAAAATCTTACTTATGCACCTTAGCTTACAGAGAGGAGGACTAGTACATCCCCATATATATCCTCGCCTAGATATTGGACACCTACCACTGTTAGATGCTGTAAACCACCTCAGCCTTTAATGCATTTTTAGTCAATTTTTAAAGAGGTTCTTGTAGGTTTTTTCGGGCTATAGGGCCATGTTCTAGAGGCATTTCTCCTGACGTTTCGCCTGCATCTATGGCAAGCATCCTCAGAGGTAGTGAGGATGCTTGCCATAGATGCAGGCGAAACCTCTGAGGATGCTTGCCATAGATGCAGGCGAAACGTCAGGAGAAATGCCTCTAGAACATGGCCCTATAGCCCGAAAAAACCTACAAGAACCTAGTGATTCCAGCCATGAAAGCCTTCGACAATACAATTTTTAAAGAGTTTATAATGTGATGTGTTAGGTTTATTTAAGTTCAATTTTTGGTTATTTTTCAGTTAGTTTCATACATTTAAATTGAGATAGTTTTAGCCAGTTTTGATTTCTTATTTGTTTGTTTTCAGCACTGTATATTTGCCACTTTGTTACTTTGCTGGAAACCTCCCTGTGTCCTCTTGGGGAGATAGGGTGGGATATAAATAGGTAAAGGTTTCCCCTGACATTAAGTCTAGTCACGTCCGACTCTGGGGGGGAGGGGGTGATGCTCATCTCCATTTCTAAGCTGAAGAGCCACCATTGTCAGTAGACACCTCCAAGATCATGTGGCTGGCATGGAACGCCGTTACCTTCAAGTTAGAGCAGTATTCATTGATTTACTCAAATGTGAATTTTTTGAACTGCTAGATTGGCAAAAGCTGGGCCTAACAGTGGAAACTCACACCGCTCCCCGGATTCAAACCGCCAACCTTTCAGTCAGCAAGTTCAGAAGTTTAATCTGCTGCACCACTGCTGGCTCCTATAAATAAAGTTATAAAGTATTATTATTATTATTATTATTATTATTATTATTATTATTCCAGTTGAAAGCAGAAAATGAGGGATTTGATTCAGCTGTGTGGAAGGAGCCTAAATTGTGTAAGCTTCAGGGTATAAAACCATCATGCTATTTATTTATGTTACAGTTTTGCTATTCCACTCTGCTCACCCAGAAGGGGGCTCAGGGAGGATCACAATACATATATACATGGCAAACACTCAATGCCGTTTTTGAAATACAAGACATACAGACAGATAGAGGCCATTCAGCAATTCTTCCACCAGATCCAGGAGGTTGCTCAATTCGGCCACAGGGGGAGCTGTCACTTCATGCACTGTGGAACTGAGCCTTTTTGATCGTAGTACAAGGTGAGGCAGCATAACTTCCTTTTTTAAAATGCCCACAATTCAGTCGGTTGAAGATATAGTGGTCTCGTTCAAGAGGCGGGAGTATAAAGTTTTGTCCTGACACAGTTCAGTCACCATCGTGCGTTGGAACAGTGAGGAGTGTGCTTTTGCTGTTAAGGCCTACTTTTCTAGCGGATTTGGAGTGGCCGGTCCGCTCTCCAGATTTGGCTCCTTGTGATTTTTTTCTATGGGGTTTTTTGAAATCCCGTGTTTATGCGAACCGTCCAAGGGCCCTACAAGATTTGAAGACCAACATCCAGGAAGAAATTGCCAACATAACACCTGCTATGCTGGCAAGAGTCATGGCAAACGCCAGAAATTGGTTTACTCTGTGTATGGAGAATGGAGAATAGGGGACGTTGCCTCCCTAATTTGATCTTCAAAACTACGTAAAAAAAAACTTTAGGTATGCGCCTACATTACAAAAAAATCTGATCCATACAATAGGTTTTATTAAGTTTTGAAAAAAGGAAGTTATGCTGCCTCACCCTGTATTTTCTCCTTGTTCTCCGGCATTTTTATCGTGTCATAAATTAGCCTCCCCACTTTAAGCAGTCCCTAATTTTTCTACTCACAGCTATTTTCAAACTGCTTAGGTTGACAGTGAGCTGGGCATTTTTTAAAGTTTAAAAAAAAGCTATTGACAGTCCAACGCTCAACTCCGACTCGGGCTTCGAACTTGCCACCTTTCAGTCGGCAGTGATTTATTGCAGCTGTTCATTGCAGATTTTATGACCCTCAATTCATTAATCAATTAGTCATTGACCATTAAAGCACAAGATATCCACACAAAACAAAGCAGTAAGGCTAAACAATATGTTTTAAATGAATGTTAATATATTGTTTAATGACACAAAGGCCTTGTATTGATGTTGTTCACCGCTTTTAGTCGCCGGAGGGCTGAGAAAAGCGGTATATAAAAAAAGTAAATAATTTTTTTAATTCTCACATTTTAATGCATTTCTTGCTTTAATTTGTATTGTCATTATTTGTTGTCACTCGGCTTGAGTCTGTATAATGCAGCCATGAGCAAACTTCGGACCTCTAAGTGTTTTGGCCTTCAACTCTCACCATTCCTAACCACCTCAGGCCCTTTCCTTTCCCCCCTCAGCCACTTAAGCCTAAACCTAAACCTAACTCCAGTGGGGATGTTAGGAATGGTGGGAGTTGAAGGCCAAAACACCTGGAGGGAGGGCCCAAGTTGGCCCAGGCCTGCTAGAATGGATGGAAGATGGGAAAAGAAATAAAAATACACTCCTCAAAAACTGCTTCATTTTTGATAGACTCTAAAAATACATAATAGATTCGGCGGCTGTATAATAATGATAGACTGAACCATCAAACCCGCCACTTCCGATCCTTCAGGTTATTAAAGGCAAACGACAAAGTCGAAACCAGCCTCGCCCTGCCAGGTCTGCCGTAAAGCAAGCAAGCGCGCACGCCCCGAGAGTGTCGCGCTGCCGGAAATGACGCCAGGCTCCGCGCCTCACGCCGGCCCCTGTGAAAGCGGCGTGGGAAACCCCGTCCTTCCTTTCGCGGCTGCTCTCGCGGACAGTTGGGTGAGTGTCTGGGGGCTCCGCTCGGCCTCGCCTGCCCGTTTCCCCGCGAAGGCCTTCCTCTCGCTCACCGCCTTGTTCTCTCTCCCCTTCCTTCCCGCAGGCGCCATGCCGGCCAAGGGACCCCTCCAGAGCGTGCAGGTTTTCGGCAGGAAGGTGAGGCTTGCGTGGCTCCCGGGAAACGAGGCCTACTTCCTCTCCCCACTCGCTTGTTTCTGCCATTGGGATGGCCTTGCTGAGGATTGGCGTGGCAAAGTGTGACCACTCTTGACTTCATGTTATGGAATTTTTGGGACTTGGAGCTCTCTGAGCAGCCAGGCAGAAGAGGGCCACAGGCCTTGTAAAACTATAACTCACAATCCCATTGTATTGAGCCAAAGTGATGTCGATCTGAATTAATTCCGCAGTGGAAATACGCCCTAAGCCACACGCAGCCACGTTTCCTCACAGTCTAGGGCTCAAACGGGAGGGCCATGCTCCTTAGAGATGAGGTTGAATTCATTTCTGTTTAATATACACATTCCAAAGCAGGTATGGGCAAACTTGGGCCCTCCAGGTGTTTTGGAATTCAACTCCCACCATTCCTAACAGCCTCAGGCCCTTTCCTTTCCATCTAGGCCTCAGGAAGGTACCTGAGACTATTAGGAATGGTGGGAGTTGAAGTCCAAAGCACCTTGAGGGCCCAAGTTTGGCCAGGCCTGTTCGAAAGGTAATTTAGTAGTAACGGAGTTGCAGATTGAATAGTTCTCAGGATTTTTAATATTGAGATACATCCATGATGCAGGTTGAGCATCCGTTATCCAAAATGCTTGGGACCACCAGTGGCTTATAATAATAATAATAATTAATAATAATAATAATAACTTTATTTATACCCCGCCACCATCTCCCAAAGGGGACTTGGGGCGGCTTACATGAGGCCGAGCCCAACAACACATCAGTTTAACAACAAAGCAATAAGCAAATAATACAATTAATATCTCACATATAGACAATAACACAAAAAATTAAAAACGTACAGATTTTTGGAAGATAATAAGAATAATAACTTTATATCCCGCTCCATCTCCCTAAAGGGTCTCAGAGTATCTTACAAGGCACCAGCAGTGCAAAAGAGAACACATAAAATATACAACAAAAATGAGCCAAAATCAGTAGCATAGCGAGTTAAACCGCTGAGCTGCTGAACTTGCTGTTAGCCCCAGCTTCTGCCAACCTGGCAGTTTGAAAACGTATGCAAATGTGAGTAGATCAATAGGTACCACTCCAGCAGGAAAGTAATGGGTGTTGCACTGGGAATCATTGTGCAAACACTTGGTCCCACAACCAGCATTTAACTTTCTTCCTGAAGGTCAGGAGGGAGGGAACTGATTTAATTGTCCTGGAGAGGGAGTTCCAAAGCTGAGGGTCACCACCGAAACGGCCCTGTCTCTCGTTCCCACCAGTCATTCCTGTACTAAATACTTTATCATCGGAAAACTATCTTGAATTTTGGAGTTTTGGAATTCCAGATAAGTGATGCTCAACCTGTGCTCATTTTCATGTTCTAATATTTCAAATACATAGTAAACTATACATTTAGTATGCAAAGGGATCTTGTAGTACATTGAAACCTTTTTTATTGTGATCGTAGTCACGGTCAAAACGATATAGTTCATAATTGATATTTTGTGTATAGGGGCATACTTCAAAATCTTCACTAGTTGTCATGACTAACTTGTGCAAATGTTATATTGTAATTTTTGAATTTAAAATACATTTTATTTCAGAAAACTGCTACTGCAGTAGCTCACTGCAAAAGAGGAAATGGCCTTATCAAGGTTAACGGCAGACCTCTGGAAATGATAGAGCCCAGAACTTTGCAGTATAAAGTAAGTTGATGCTTATGTTTCATGAATGTCGAAAAAGACTTCACATTGAATATGTATTGTGGATGACTACTGTTTTATCAACCTGAAGCATGTTGCTGAAATTGGCATGGTTGCAAATGGAAAGGGAGCTGTGAATTTTGTTTTTCCTTAATACATAGGAATATCTTTAATTCTGTTTGAGCTTCCATTTGCTAAATCCCATTAATTTCAGTGCCCTATCCATCCAAACATATGTGAAATAAAAAGTTGAGATAACTGCATTGAACGAATTGCGCTAGTTTACAAAAGCCTATGTTATGGGTACAAGACTTTTTGTTGGTGTTGGGTTTGATAAGTACTGTATTTCTTACATGTTTGGCTATATCTTTGATTATGTTAAGATTTTCTATAGAAATACCAGTGAGTCAACTCCCCCTTTTGGCTAGGTGAGGATTAAGGGCAAAGGGCAATAAAATTCCGAATCCATTAACAGCAGCAAAATAACTTCCATTTTTATCCAGGCTATCTTATCTGTGTGAGTCTGATAGCTTCTTTCTTAGCAGAGAACAATTAATATCTAAAGATGTCTATATTGGTACGTCTGTAAAAGCTTTATATGCTGTATTGGTAAAATTTGCCAATTGTCCAACTGTGAAAGAGTCTCTTCATTGTTGGTTGTACAAACCTCAAACAATATCCTAGTTCATTAAAGGCATATTTCATAAGTTTAGTTTAATAATGATAGACAAACAGTGGGTGGACCAAGAAATACTTTGACCTTTCTTCTTAATTGCCATAGTTTAAGCATGTTGATTTTTAAAAGAATGCTTAAGGCTTTTATAACTAAAATGTTCTTTTTTTAGCTGCTTGAACCAGTTCTTCTTTTGGGCAAGGAGCGCTTCGCAGGAGTTGACATCAGAGTCCGTGTTAAGGGTGGTGGTCATGTAGCGCAAATATATGGTAAGAGTTTGTGAGCTACTTCATTTCTTTGAATGGGAAAAACATAGGATTTGTATGTATAAATTGTTAACAATCTTGTAAATTAAGTATTAAAATGCTTCCTACGTTCTGATTGAATTGCTGGTCACCTGTGCCTTACAAGTGTATTTGACATCCTGGATGCATTCCTTTTATTTCTCCCCACACTTACTTATATGTCTTTTAAAAATCAGTAAGTGAATCAGAGGTTTACCTGTTTTTTTTTAACCCATTAGATGGGGTAGATTGAAACACCTAGTGAAATTGGTATATGATAACATTTTTACCTCCATTAAAAAAGAAAACAGGCTTTTTCAGAGGCAAGGAGGTGGCTATAGTGGAGGTAGCCCTCCAAATTCAATTTCAAATGAATGTTTATAGTTTGGTTGCTTATTTAATTAATTTTTGTTTGTTATTCGTTTCAATTTTGAAATTATTAGCTGTTTTGGTTGCTTATAGTGGGAGAAAGGTATCAAGTAAATAAAAACCAATATATAAATTAATGTAGTTATAGATATGTTTTCTAAAAATTATAAACTAGCTCCTAGAATCTAATTGTTAGGATTTTTAGCCTAGCCTTTGTGTCATTACTATACATTTTAACATTTTTGTCGTACCTTTTTTTTCTTTTGCAGCAATTCGGCAGTCCATTTCCAAAGCATTGGTGGCTTATTACCAGAAATGTAAGTTGCTTGACTGTGTTCTTTAAAAATACATGACTTGAAACGTGCATTTATTTATTTACGACATTTATCTGCTTCCCTTCTCACCCTGAAGGGGACTCAGAACGGCTTAGTAGCAATGTATTAGTTCTAGCTCAATACTCAATCTAAAAAAAAGATTTCTCTTGGTAGTCATAATACCAAATTATGCTTGTGAACTACATCCAGCACTGAACATAAGTGAAAGTTTTAGTAGCTAACACAGACATTCTTTTTTCCCCCCAAGATGTGGATGAGGCTTCCAAGAAGGAAATAAAGGATATCCTTATCCAGTATGACAGGACTCTGTTGGTTGCTGATCCTCGTCGTTGTGAGTCCAAGAAGTTTGGTGGACCTGGTGCTCGTGCACGTTACCAGAAGTCTTACCGTTAAAAAGAAAATTTTACATTTGTCTTTTCAAATAAAAATGACAGAAATGTAATACCATATTTTGTCTGAAATCTGTGCTTTAATTCTCATGCATGTTTGCTCATTCAAACAGAACAGCAATCCAATTGTCAGAATTAAAAGATATAATGGTTGTGCAAAACTGAGATCAATGTATGTGTGACTGAGCAGTAGTCACTGAAATAGCAGCTGTCTCACCCCCCATTTATATTAACATTCTTACTCTGCCTTTCCCCAAGATTGGGACCCAAAAGCAACCAATCATGTAAAAAGTAATAAAAACATACAAAAGGTAATTAAACTCAATACGATTGTTAGAACATTTAAATGCAATTAAAATATCAAGCTGTGATAAATAATAAAAAATAGTAAGCTTTATTTATATCCCGCCCCCTCTCCTGGAAGGGTCTTAGGGTGGCTTACAGGAAGTAACTATAAATAGTTATTTGCTGTATACTGTAAATAGTAAATAATTCAATTAAAACAGTTCAATGTGTTCTTTGAAACATTCAGTTTTTATAGCTTGCCTGAATATGAAGGTTTTAGCTCAGTGGTTCCCAATCTTTTTTTGACCAGGGACCAGTTTGATCAAGGACCACTCTCCATCATTAGTACCAAAAGGGTTACGAATCAGTTTTTGGTCAACTTTAGATTTAGTTTGGGGTGCTGATTCAGAAAATTGCATTAGATAGACCACATCAGCTCAAGTTGCTGATACAGAACATATACCATGGTCAGCAACAGAAGGAATGAGGGGTGCCATGAAAGGAATGGAAATAAAAAGGAAGGAAGCTCATGGACCAGATTTTCATCCTTGCGGCCCACTGGTGATCTGCAGCCCACAGGTTAAGAACCACTGTTTTAGCTCCTCTGCTTCACTCTCCTTATACAAATAGTGTTTTCAATAGTTCATAGCAAGGCAGAACCCAGTGGGCATAAAAAGATATCAAAAAGAAGTTTCTTTGCCAGAGGCTTTTCCGCGGTATGTCTATAAATTGGTGTGCCCAAATACAATGAGAGTCATTGTGGCATAGTGAGTGATTTGAGTGTTATTCCAGGGCCCCAGAAAACTCAGTTCAATTTCTCTCTCAGCTATGGAAGCTCACTGGGTGACCTTTGGGCAAGTTGTTCTCAAGGGAAGGCCAGAGCAAACCCGCTTACTAAGAAAACTCTTAGGGTCACAAATGGCTTGAAGACACCAACAAAAAATCCAACGCATGGAAAATGATACATCGTGGGAATGTATGCAGCTTTGTTCATAGGTAGGTTATGTGAAATTGGTATGTGTGTAAGTATGTATATGTATATACCAGATCTCCTGTGCCTACCTGTATTTGATTTCACTAGTTCTATAGCTTGCAAACCTGTTCCCCAATGTATTCTTACACATGTACTGTTAAATCAGTTCTAAGTAGAAATCAGACATAAAACAAATGCAGTTCAAATGCCTTTCCTTACACTAAACAGTTTAAAATTGCAGGACTTAGACTACTTGAGATTAATAACATCTTTTTTTTCTTTTTAAAGACAATTTTTAAAGTTATATTTTTCTGTACCAGTTCAAAGTATGTGACTATATTTCTGTGGTCATTGTCAGATCGCTACCTGGTGAGGTTAGATTCATGGGGATTCAGAGTTTCTGTGGGAGTCAGAGGCAAATTACGGTAGTTTGGCCCATCCTAGCAGGTTTATTAGTCCAGATGGATTCCTCACAACTCTTGGGAGTGTTTCCTGCTGCCTTTTTGTGCACTGTTTTGGAGCCTGTTGTGGTTTCTCCGCTCCAGCGGCTTCTCAATCTAGATTATCTAACTCATTTTAAACTGGCATTGGGCTTCATTATGGTGTAGAAATTGGCTCTTTGGTGTGGTTGACTTGTTTACAGGTTACTACATACCTGTTTATTCTGCTAGACCTTTTGGTGGTTTTAGATACTATCAATCATGACAGACCATGATGACCTGGACTGCATCTCTGAGATGGGATTTGGAGCAGTTTCAGTTCTTCTTGGAGGAATGCATCCAGAAGGTCATCCTAGGGGATTCCTAATCAACACCTTGGCCATCAGCCTGTGGTGTTCCTCATGGTTTAGTTTAGTTTTAGTATTTAGCATATCCATGAATACTCTAGGAGAAGATGTCCAGAGGTTTAGGGTTTGGTGTCATCAGTATGCTTATATCATTCTCCCTTCTGTCTTAACTCCCAGGAAGTGATTTGGGTACTACACCAGCTTCTGTTGTCAATAATGCATGAGATTGGGGTAAGCAGATTGAAGTTTAATCCAAACAAGACAGTATGCTCCTGATCAGTTGGAAAATAAGCAAGGAATGTTCTGTGGGATTATATTCCAAAACAAAAAGTTTTAAAAACACGATTGCAAAACAATATAGTTACAGAATCATAATCACTGGATGAAAACGGCTGACTAAATGCATGGCACTAAGCATCCAATTGTATACAAAAATGCATATGAACATCAAATTATAACAAAGAAGGAATAATATGTTACAAAATTAATAGTCTAATATGCTGAACTAAACATGGATTATAATTAGTGAGAAGGCAGTAAAATATTAATAGAAAACAGCAAGATATATGCAGGATTTCTAGGTTATAGTTTGTTGTAATGTATCTTCTTTAGTAAGCCTTTCATTGCACTGCTAATTGTGAGGAAAATGTTCCAACTGCCCCAAAATATGTGTTATGGCTCAAGACTTGGATTCTTCATAGTATTTGTGCTTACACTCCCCTGAAATCTTAGGTTCATTCACTTTTGAACTCAGCCCTGGTTTTAGCAACAGTCAGGAGGGCCTTTGTACAATTAAAACTAGTGTGCCAACTGAGGTTCTAGACCCTTATGGCTTTGGCCATAATGACTCCTTGTAGAGCCACATCAAACTATATTTATTCCAGTATAGAAAGCCAGCATGGTGTACTAATTTGAGTGTTGGACCAAGGACCCTTTCAGACAGACCCTATATCCCAGGTTCTGATCTCAGGTTTTCTGTTAATCCCAGATTATGTGGCAGTGCGGACTCATATAATCCAGTTTAAAGCAGAATATCTGGGATCAGATCCTGGATATTGGCCTGTTTGGAAGGGTTCCATGACACTGAGAAAACAGGATTTACTTGGACAAGTCACATTTATTATGGTATATGTATGTATATGACTAAGTTTCTGCAAGGATCATTTCCTGGGTGTGTGTTAAGGAAAAATACCTAGGTAATGGAAGCAATCAAGGTTAACAAGCTTGAACCACTCTCTGAATGGGGTATAACTTGGGGAGTGTTTTGTAATGGATTTTGGGACTTACTGAAACACTTGCTTCAGAATTTAAATAGAGTAAGTTCCAGGTTGAGAGCCTATTACGCTTGTATCCTTACACCACTTGAAGGAAGAAGAAATCTATAACGAAGATGCATGAATTTAATGCTAAGGATTTTATGTGAGTTTTTTCTGCAGATGGACTGAGCTATTTCAAAGCTGGATATTTTGTGTTTTTGAAGCCACTTATTTGACTGTTACATAAGATTAAATTTTGATTTTCCCATTTACTTGGCTCATATTTACTCATTGTGGATGAACAAAGGGCTGGGAAGTCTGGACACGACTGCATGCATTCTGGGTTTGCTTTCATATAAACTGCAACAACATTCTCTCAGCTTCAGTGGAAATCAGAGACGCAACCCTCCTCTGAACAAATTGTGCCCCCAAAAGCCCCTGATATGGTTAATATAAGTAAGAAATGAGGACACATAGCAAGAGTTATAATTACAGTAGAGTCTTGCTTATCCAACCTTCGCTCATCCAATGTTCCGCATTACCCAACACAGTCTGCCTCCCGCACAGAATAATGTCCAGGACAGAAGAAAGAAAGAACCCTTCTCTGTTTTGGTGCTAAATTTGTAAATACAGAAATTACTACTTAATGTTATGGTGTATTGAACTGCCTTTTCTGTCGATTTGTTGTAAAACATGTTTTGGTGCTTAATTTGTAAAATCATAACAAATTTGACATTTAATAGGTTTTTCATTAATCCCTCCTTATTATCCAACATTTTTGCTTATCCAACTTTCTGCCGGCCCGTTTATGTTGGATAAGCAAGACTGTACTGAAGTTAGAATATCATAGGTTATCTATAGTTCCAAAAAAATTGTTTTGAAAATACTTGCTATTATTTTGCAACACTTAGAAAATCAGATCATTGCTGTTTAGTAGGGAAGAAGCCCCCAGTGGCTCAGTGGTTTAAATTGCTGAGCTGCTGAACTTGCTGATTGAAAAGTCAGTGGTTCAAATTCAAGGAACAGAGTGAGCTCCTGCTGTTAGCCCCAGCTTGTGCCAACCTAGCGGTTTGAAAACATGCAAATCTGAGTAGATCAACAGGTACCGTTTCAGCAGGAAGGTAACAGTACGCCATGCAGTTATGCTGGCCAAATGACCTTGGAGTTGTCTATGGACAATGTCGGTTATTTGGCTTAGAAATGGAGATGAGCAAACACACACACGCACCAGTCAGACATAACTAGGCTTAATGCCAAGGGGAAACCTTTACCTTTTAAGGAAGAAGGTAATGTTGATCACTTCTGCTACCTTGGCAGCCACCTCTCCACAAAAGTCAACATTGTCACTGAAATACAACACTGCCTGAGCTCTGTGAGGGCAGCCTTTTTTCGAATGAAGCACAGAGTGTTTGAGGACCGGGACATCCATAGGGATACCACGATGCTTGTTTATAAAGCTATTGTCCTCCCAACCCTGCTATACGCCTGTGAGACGTGGACTATCTACAGTACAGACGTCACATGCAACTCCTAGAATGATTCCATCAGCGTTGCCTCCGAAAAATCCTGCAAATCTCTTGAGAAGAGAAGCGAACAAATGTCAGCATGCTGGAAGAAGCAAAGACCACCAGCATTCGAGCAATGGTCCTCCGCCATCAACTCCTCTGGACTGGCCACATTGTCCGGGTGCCCGACCACCGTCTCCCAAAGCAGTTGCTCTACTCTGAACTCAAGAATGGAAAATGGAATGTTGGTGGGCAGGAAAAGAGATTTAAAGATGGGCTCAAAGCCAACCTTAAGAACTCTGGCATAGACACTGAGAACTGGGAAGCCGTGGCCCTTGAGCACTCCAGCTGGAGATCAGCTGTGACCAGCAGTGCTGTAGAATTTGAAGAGACATGAATGGAGGGTGAAAGAGAGAAACGTACCAAGAGGAAGGCGTGTCAAGCCAATCCTGACCGGGACCGCCTTCCACCTGGAAACCGATGCCCCCACTGCGGGAGAACATGCAGGTCAAGAATAGGGCTCCACTGTCACCTACGGACCCACTGCCAGTACACCAACCTTGGAAGACAATCCTACTCGGACAACAAGGGATCGCCTAAGTAAGTAAGTAAGTAAGTAATGCATTTGCTATCATTGCTGAACAAAAATTGTGTGCTGCAACCAGAAGGAAGCTGGGAAAAATATTTTACTGGAGCCACAATATGACAAGACAGATACAATTTGGTAGGTCTTTTCATACACTTGTATTGCTATTAGCTGAATCCTAAAATGTTTGAGGCAATTTGCTAAATATGGGGGGTCTGTTGACAAAACACTATTTGTTGAATGATGCAGTTGCATTGCATACTTGTTCAGTTGAATTTGTAATATTCCTGTCCTGCATTTTATAGAACTTTTCTGAATAATGGTCAGGGAATCAGTATGATTCCATATCTAAAATGGGAGGCATCTACCTAGAAAAAGTAAGATAATTAGCTATCCGTAAAGTAACTAACAGTGTAAAGGGGATAAAAAAATAAACAGAGATCTCGTTATTTATCTTATAGGTTAAAAAACCCTATCAAGATGAAAATAAAAGGAATAATTCAGGGAGAAACAGGCCACATCACTTTTCTAGATCACTTGTTGGGCTTGATCATCAGAAGGTTAAATTAAAACTTTGTTACAAATGAATATTTTTCAAATCAAAGTGACATCCTGGCTATTAAAACTACAGGACCTTTCAAAAAGCTAATGAAAACTATTGAAGGTTTGTTCTCTAAGTTGCTTGTAATATGAAAATTACCAAGAAAAAAGAGGAAAATTTGATCAGCACAGGCTTCAAAGCAGACAGATGCAAAATGATCTCTCACGGTATCATGGTACGGCAAGGTTTCTTTCTGTGTCACTGTCCCCAAGCGTTATAAAGGGTCGATTCAGTCCAAAAGAGGAGTAGGAACGTAGGGTCTCATGTAACTAATACTGACTCAGGTAAGGAGCTACCATGCATTACTAATGAGACAAACCCAGCCAAAACGTATGTAGCATTTCCAAAGCTCTAAAAAAAAGCTTGAGCGCAACAAAGCAAAGCTCCATTTTGTTTATTTTTCTTCTGTTCTATTTCAGTTAATCGTATTTACAAGGACTCACGCAGGACGTTAACTTTTAAGATGTCATCATAGTTAAGAGCACTCACATTAAGAAGCTGCACTGAGATGAACATTGTGAGAAAAATCAATTTCATGATACCGTGGGATGTATTTTGGCTTCATTTTCTGTTCTTTTGTTTGAAAGGTAAGTTGTTTTGGACTGTGAGGCATTTATACAATCTTTGTCATAGAAAAAAAGTGTAGCGTCTAGAGAAATTGAAGCTTGTACTTTGTTTTGTCATTGTTTTGACCTGCCAGAAAATAAGCAAATTATCTGTTCCTTTACTATTGCTTTTATTGTTTTTATAGTATTTTAGTGGGTATCTGTAATTTATTTATTTTAGATATCTATAATATTTTGAATGCTGTGTTTGGTATAAATAGCCTCATTACCTTGATGTTTATCCCATTCTTTTACATAGATTATTATTATGAGTAAAAAACACTGCTTTGGATCTAACAAGGACAGTTTTGCTGTTAAAAAGGTGGTCCAAAGTGATGGGGTTGGATTATTATTATTATTATTATTATTATTATTATTATTATTATTATTATAATTTTATTATAATTATATTATTATATTATTATTATTATATTATAATTATTATTATATTATTATAATAATAATAATAATAATAGGAAAATAGTATTTTGGATCTAACAAGGATGTGTACGTAGTAAACATTCAGTCAGGAAAAGCACACAAAGACTTACTTTTGAGTACAAAATGAATACAATAGAATAGTAGTAGAATTTTTGAGTAAACCTGTATTGGTTTCAATGGCATTTTAACTAGCCTTTCTAGAATTTCGTAGGGACGTGTAGCATTTTTCACAATTATTCTTTACCTGCAGTGTGTTGCAACATTAGAATAAATATTTAATATTAGATAAAATATTAGGAAGTGCTTTCTTTACTCTTGCAAATAATATTTTGAAAAATTATTTTAAAAATTATGATTTTCATATGACCATGAGAAATTAATATCTCCAATAGTAGAAAGGCATGCAGTAAATTTGGATAGCAAAGGAAAAAAAATATTTTCATAGTCCAAAAAACATACCAAAGTGTATATTTTAAATAGGGAGGGCATTCACATTAATAACAGTGAACTTGATTCTTCAGGAATTGTGAATGAATCATTGCACTATAATCAAGTATAACTTCATGTATGTGCTGTATGCACACAACTATCTCTAGATGTCCATGTGCTGGGCATCCCAAATTCTAAAAACTTCAGTCTTTTAAAAAAGCAGGCCTATGTCATTATAAAGACCAATCCAAACAATATTGCTTTACTTTTACGAAATATTCCTTATGGGTGCAACTGACAATCCTGTCCATCCTTTTTGAGAGAACCTAACTTATTCTTGCTTTTGAAATTGGACTGCTGTTGGTGTTTTTCCGAACTCAGCCTATAGACTAGATTCAAGGAGAGAGAGACTGATGTTTCCTATTTATATTGAACAGGCTCTGTTGGCGAATTACCTCTTCTGAAAAGAACTTCAGGGTGAGTTTGAATACCTCATTTGTATGCCCTTGAAAGTTCATTTTGTATGACATTGTGACACTACTGTAATACACTATAGAAATGAAAAATATTTTAAGTTTTTTTTTCATATTCAGGAATGTTTTTTCTGTCCAAAAGATTGCCAGTATGCTTTTTTTCCATTGTCACATCTGTTTTATAACTGGAAACTCAGTAACTCAGATGAATGATTCTTAACTATTTGGGGGTAATGGATGCCTTTGAAGATTTGGTAAAAGCCAGGGAACTCCACTTCACACATGGTAGTTGGCAACGGTGGGTGTATGTTAACTGATTCCACTCTAGGTATGTTTGGAAGGAAACAACAGCTAAATAATATATACCAATGTTACCTCTTCTCCCTTGCCCAAAAAGAAATTGTTCTAAGTAAGAAAGCAAAATCAGATTTTAAAAATAGTGTAGGTTTAATTCAAAGATTGTGTTCCTTGGACTGGGGTAGACAATGAATGTCTGGTGGCCATCAATTACTTAGAATTTTCATAAGCAAAAATGGGACAATGAGAAAATTTGTCTAATAACAATAATTTAGACAACCGTCTCTATTCAAGGATGTTCGTGTGGGACATCTACACTGACCTTCTAAGCCAGGGCCAATCCAGCATGCTGTAAGGTAGATGAGCCCTGAGATTGCTCCCATAGCCACCTTTCCCCAGCTGTTGCAGAGGTGGGAGGGAGTCTTGACTATGTCGTGGTGCAGAACTTGGTTTGGAGCTGTTAGACAGCCATCCCCTTCCATTCTGTCTTGCTTAGGTCTTTGCCTGCAACATAGATCCTACTGGTCAATCATCACCTGCAGTGACATTGGCTGGAGCAATGGGCGACAAGGGAGGAGGGAGAAAAGGAATAACCTCCTCTTCTTCCCCTTCCTTCCTTGATCGCTTCATCATTGGCCAACATTATTGAAGGTGATGGCCTTCATGTTGCAGCTGGTGACTGCAGTAACGTGAAAAATGAGAGGGCCCAGAAAACACAGATAGCAATGAAAACAGTTGCACCAGTTCCATCTCTAAATTGACCCAACTGTTAATATTGGCTCAAAGTCAGTGGATACTTTGAATTTTGGGCCCTTCTACATTAAGAGATCAATTTAGATGTGCCCATATAAAATTTCCATTATTTTATTTATTTATTTATTTATCGTGTCATCCGCAACCAGAACATTACATTTCTAACAGAACGAAATAAACAAACAGATAAAAAAATTTTTTTTGCAAACTTGGTAGCTGATTAAATGTCCTTTGACCAGTATCTGGCCACTTGGAGTGCCTCTGGTGTTGCCGCAAGAAGGTCCTCCATCGTGCATGTGGCAGGGCTCAAATTGCATTGCAGCAGGTGGTCAGTGGTTTGCTCTTCTCCGCACTCGCATGCTGTGGATTCCACCCTGTAGCCCCATTTCTTAAGATTGGCTCTGCATCTCGTGGTGCCAGAGCGCAGTCTGTTCAGCGCCTTCCAAGTCGCCCAGTCTTCTGTGTGCCCAGGGGGGAGTCTCTCATTTGGTATCAGCCATTGATTGAGGTGCTGGGTTTGAGCCTGCCACTTTTGAACTCTCGCTTGCTGAGGTGTTCCAGCGAGTGTCTCTGTAGATCTAAGAAAACTATTTCTTGATTTAAGTCGTTGACGTGCTGGCTGATACCCAAACAAGGGATGAGCTGGAGATGTCACTGCCTTGGTCCTTTCACTATTGGCTGCTACTTCCCGGCGGATGTCAGGTAGTGCAATACCGGCTAGACAGTGTAATTTCTCCAGTGGTGTAGGGCGCAGACACCCCGTGATAATGTGGCATGTCTCATTAAGAGCCACATCCACTGTTTTAGTGTGGTGAGATGTGTTCCACACTGGGCATGCATACTCAGCAGCAGAGTAGCATAGCGCAAGGGCAGATGTTTTCACTGTGTCTGGTTGTGATCCCCAGGTTGTGCCAGTCAGCTTTCGTATGATATTGTTTCTAGCACCCACTTTTTGTTCAGGCAGTGCTTCTTGTAGGTCAGGTCATTTCCATTATGTTATTTAACTTTAATTTCCATGTGACCCTGTTTGCTATAGGACTGGTAACAGACTGCAGAGTGGGAACAAGATAACATTCAGCACTAAGCCATATCTAAAGAAATGTAAAGAAAGCCATTGTTGAATTCTTTGATGGGTGTACTGGTGATGATAAAGCTATTGGATATAAGCATGTAAATTAAGTCAAGTTCTGCTAATATATATATATATATTATAATATAATATATGCAATCATGTATTTCAGCATTTCTTGTCCCACGTTCATCTGCAACTGACCGCCATGTTGAGAGAGATTTCTACCTCTGAGAGGGGTTTGGACCAAATGGTGATTTCCCCATTTTAAAGAAAGGACATGATTTCACTGCATTGTTGGATATAATGAGACTTGTGCACCAATGGATTTGGGCATCTACTTATCCACAGAGAGCACCAAAACCAAACTCCACTAGATACCAATAGTAACATAGTCTCATTTGTTTAGATCCATTGGTTTTATCATTGTATAAAATGAAAAATGAAATTATTATGTAAAACTTCTGCTTATAGAGGGAGAAAAAGTGAAGGCAGTGACATATTTCGTATTTCTAGGCATAAAGATTACTGCAGACCAGACTTCAACCAGGAGATCAGACAACATTTACTTCTTGGGAAGAGAGCAATGACCGATCTTGATAAAATAACAAAGAGTAGAGACATCACACTGGCATCAAAGATCTGTATAGTTAAAGCAATGATATTCCCCGTAGTAACCTATGAATGTGAAAGCTGGACCATAAAGAAGGCTGAACGAAGGAAGATAGACACTTTTCAACTGTGGTGCTGGAGGAAAATTCTGAGAGTGCCTTGGACCGCAAGAAGATCAAATCAGTCCATACACCAGGAAATAATGCCCGACTGCTCACTGAAAGACAGCATATTAGGGGCAAAGATGAAGTACTTTGGCCATATAATGAGAAAACGGGAAAGCTTGGAGAAGATAATGAAGCTGGGGAAAATGGAAGGAAAAAGGAAGAGGGACTAATCAATGACAAGCTGGATGGATGGATGTTATCCTTGAAGTGACTGACTTGACCTTGAAGGAGCTACCAGGTGGTGATGGCCAACAGGGAGCTCTGGCAAGCAACTGAACAACTAAGCAACAACATGTAAAACCTCTGCTTATGTAAAAAACCTTGCTTCTTTTTAAAAAATAGCTCTAATCTACCCATATCTTAATGATTTCCTCTCATTAGACATAGCTCACAGTTTGTGTCCATGAGCAAAAATTGGGGCTGTTTTCTATTTTGTTAAATCCAAAAAGATAAAATAAAAGTGAATGTTCACTTCTAAAAAAACTAGAATGCTAATCCAATAAAGGCGTCTTTAATAATGCTAGAGAAATCTGAGAGAAACACCTCTCTCACGGGAGCTTGCTTATTCAGGTTGCTTTGAAATCTTTGATTATACAAGATTCTTCTTGTTTTCTTCCAGGAATGAATTTAATGCAATTCGCCAGAAAAGAGATCTCTTAGCAGCTGAGGTAGGTTGGACCACAAAAGGAAGGAAAGAAAAAACCCACACGCTCACACCCATCTGCCTACTAAGGGCAGTTTGCTATTTCTACAATGAAGTCTTTGTACAGCAAATGTTAATAGCAAAGCAGGACAAGGAGGAGAAGCTTTTCCATACCTGTTTTTCTGCAGCTCTCAAAATGCAAACCTACATTCAACCATTCATTCATTCATTCTTTGCAAATCGCTTCTAGAATTAACCACTGCAACAAACTAAGTGACGCACATCAAGCGGAAAAAGAGGCCTTTTCACTGTTATCTCTTTTGTAAGAGCAAACAAAAAAGACTTGGAATTTTGTTAGTGCTTGGCACAAAGTACAACCATGAAATAGTAGATGGGCTGTTTTGCAAAGGGTGTTGTTGCTGTGACAGACTCTGCTCAGCTCTCCAATGGGTTCCCAGGACAGAGATGGTACTTGTGAAAAGTGTTCTCCTTGGTTTATTTCAATTGTAATGGAGAGGTCTGAAAAGTAATGTTTTAATGACTTTTTTCAGGAATCTCCAGCTACCATGGCAAGTAGCTTTTCCATATAAGACCAAGCCAAGCAGGGTTCTAATATCACAGTTTTAGTGAATTCTTTCCATGCTTTCTACTACTCTTCCATTGAAGACTGACAGGTCGAAGGTTTGAATCCGGGGAGAGTGCGGATGAGCTCCCTTTGTCAGCTCCAGTTCCCCATGCAGGGACATGAAAGAAGCCTCCAACAAGGATGGTAAAACATCAAAACGTCTGTGCGTCCCCTGGGCAAGGTCCCCCTTGCAGAACAGCAATTCCTTCTCCCCACACCAGAAAAAGTTGCCTTTGCAGTTTTTTCCCTCAAGTTCCCGCCGTCCCCCCTTGAACACCAACAACAACCCCCCCCCCCCGACAAACAAAGCTTTATAATGTTTGTGTTGATTATGTGTTTTAGCTATGATGTAACCTGCCCTGAGTCATGAAGAATGGCGAGTATGAATTATTATTATTATTATTATTATTATTATTATTATTATTACTATTATTACTATTATTATTTGAAACACAACAAGATGAGTCCACAGCAGACACTCTGCTGGTTGTTGAACTGGACCACACATCAGACACTTTCCCCAAATGTCTAGGACTGTGTGATGTATCGGCAAATAATGTGTGATGCCAGTAAGGTGGCCTTCTGCAGCTGGCAGATGCTAATTTTGTCAGCGCCGATTGTGTTTAAGTGCAGGCCAAGGTCTTTAGGCACTGCACCCAGTGTGCCAATCACCACTGGGACCACCTTGACTGGCTTGTGCAGAGTCTTTGCAGTTCGATTTTTAAATCCTCATATTGTGTCAGCTTTTCCAGTTGTTTCTCTTCAATCCTGCTGTCACCTGGGATTTCAACATCGAGACATCCATTTTATTATTATTATTATTATTATTATTATTATTATTATTATTATTATTGCAGCACTAAGATGATCTGGAGAGGCCTTTTTCTCTGACCCACAAGGGAAAGGGCCTTTTTGACAGCTGCTCCCAGACTTGGAGCTCTCTCCTTAAAGAGGCCCGGAAGACCCCTCTTTGCCCTTCTTCTGTCAGCAGCTCAATACACTTTTGTGCCATCGGGCTTTTAAAAGCAGACTAGAATTGGACTTTTAATGCCTTTTTAAAGGCTTGTGCATATGTTTTTCAGACAGATATGCATTATTTGCATTCATTTCTGCTTATCTCATAGATTTCTGCAGTTCCCTCTGGAACTCCCATTCATGAAGCCTTTTCTCACCTTCAAAATTCATCAGGAGGTCAGTATCATTTTCTTACCTCTTGTAAAAAGCAATACTTTAATTATTATTGCCTGTGATTTAATATAGTGCTGATGTAATGCTATTAACTCATCTATAACATACTTTATAATACATTTCAAGGGATGAAGATGTCCCACCAAAACATCAGGTGTAAAGCAGAAGATGTAACAGCTGGCAGCATCTAGAGACCAGTGTAGTGCAGTGGTTTGAATGCTGAACAATGACTCTGAAGACAAGGGTTTGAATCCCCACTTGGTGATGAAACCCACTTCCCTCCTGAACAAATTCTGCCAAGAAAACCATCTGATAGGTTTGCTTTAGAGTCACCATGAGTCAAATGTGTTGGCTTACAACTTAAATTTGGAGGATATCAGGCTAGGGAAGGCAGATTTAAGATGTCAATAAAGTTTTAATACTTATTTGCAGCTGGATTTTTTTTTTTTTTTTTGCTTATGCAGGTTCTTGCCCTCAGGATTGCCTTAATGGAGCAGTTTGCACTGAGGCAGGAGTGTGTGACTGTGAGACATTCCAGGCACAGGGGGAACGGTGCCAAATTGGTAAGTCCCAGTAACAAGTTATAGAGCTGAATTTCATATAAATGTCAACTGTTAAATATAATTTGTTAAAATAACAGTACACATAATGCTTTGACAACATGTTCCCTTTTTTTAATTGAAAATACATTGCAGCATAGTGCAAGAATACAGCGAAATGTATTTGCACAAACAAGCTCTAATGTGGTCCACAATGGTCTTAATTTATTCCCGATTGATTTATTTGCTAGGTTTCCAGCAAACAAATATTATTATTAAATGAATCAAACAACGTTCAAGTCTTTAGAAACATACAAAGAAATAAACAGTTAAGGATCAAAGGCTATATGGAATAATTCAGTTTTAAGTAATGAATGGAGGAGGAGGAATGGAACCAACCTGGTCTCACTTGGGAAGGGAGTTCAAATTTCCAGATATTTCTTTTGGGAAAGTCTTGTGATATATTTTGGTCATATAGACTCCCCCAGAATGGGTGGTTCCCCAAATAAGCCTTTATTGAGAACTTTTGATTCTGAGCACATTTGTATGGGAGGAGTTGGTCTTTCAAAGACCCTCCATGACATTTATGGTTTCTGATGATCCAAACTTGGGCCCTGCATTTAGAGTGGAAGCAGATTGGTAGCCAGGGTACTTTGTGTAGAAGTGATATATGTAGTCTTTAAAGTGTATACTATAGCCTTGCTGCTGCATTTCAAGTGCAGACCCGTTAAGGACTTTATCAGACAGGGTGATTGAACGCCCTATGATTCAAAATCCCACAGGCCAATGTCCATCAGGGTGAAATGGAGTTCTCCATCACTGCAGATATTAATCTAAAAAGGAACAGAAGGTGAAGCATTGTAAAATAGTTCCTCCATGTCCCATATAAATCTAATGACCCAGAAGGATACCAAAATCAAGAACAATGGATTGGCATCCTACATTTCCAACTTCCAATTAGCTGCATGTATTGTAGGTGTGGCAATTTTTGTAAAATAGTAAAATAACAGCAACATATGGAATGGGTTCTGTTGCATTTGTTGTTGTTATTATTATTATTATTATTATTATTATTATTATTATTATAACTTTATTTGTACCCCGCTAGCATCTCCCAAGGGATTCGATGCGGCTTACAACAGGCCGGAGCCCAACACAATACAACAATACAATACATAGCAAATAAAACAGTTAAAGCAGAAAACAATAACAGTAGCAGTACAACAGGACATTATTAAAAACTGAGCCGGCCAGGAGTAGGGTACAGGATTAAAAGTGCTGTTATGTTGGCTTTTGTTACTATACTTGTAAACAAATTCTCTATTTTCTTATAGTTGCAAATGCTGGCAAAGACAGAGATGGCATTTGCAAATCATGGGGACAGTATCACTTTGAAACATTTGATGGTATCTACTACTACTTCCCAGGAAATTGTTCTTATATTTTTGTGAAAGACTGCGGTGATCCAGAGCCTCAATACACTGTGTGGGTAAGACAAAATTTTGTTCAAGAAGGAAGTTATAGTAGTGAGAAAAATTAATGAAGCCCACCCCCTTCATTTCCTATAAAATCAGAATAATTGAATCATAGAATTGGAAGAGCCCATTTGCACAATCAAAGCACCCCTAACATATTTTTAAAAGCTCCAAAGAAGAGGCTTTCACCATACTCTGAGGCAGTGACTTCTACTATTGAACAACTCTAATGGTCAGGAAGTTTCCCCTAATGTTCTGGTCGAATCCTGTAATTTGAATCTACTTCTCCGACTCCAAGTCTCCAGAAAAACAGAAAATAAACCTGTTTCCTCTTTCTTATGACATTTTTACAAACATATAACCTGAATGATCACCCAGTTGGTCTAATTACGTGTGAGGACCTCTTATCAGAAAATGCTCTTTCATCTATTTAAAAATAGGAGAAAGATAAAAATGTAGATTTTTTATATAAGCCAGGGAAACGTTGCAAATTCATTGTGTGCAATCATTGTATGTGTTTTGTTGTTCCAAGTCATTTCCAAATTATGGTATCCCTAAGGTAAACATATCATGGGGTTTTCTGAGAATTGCACTAGGTCAACCTGTGGGTTTCCATGGCCAAAGTAGGGAATTGAACCCTGGCCTCAAGAGTCATAGTTAAATCCTCAAACCACTACACCATGCTGGTTCTCTGTATAATGTATCAGAAATTTTCTCTTCTCACGCCAGAAGAAATCATAGTCATAGTAAAAAGAATTATGTGTTATTGGGCATGACTAGAGATAACACTCAATTCTGGATCCTGTGGTAGGAACAGTTGATCACAGATGTTTCTAGCTCTAGTAGTTTTGGATACAACTTTTGTGTTATGACAATGTTGGGGGGGGGGGGGAAGAGGTTCCTTACTACTATTTATCCTTTTCTCTCTTTTGAAGATAAATAACAGTCCACATTGTGTTGGTTCAGTATACTCCTGTTTGCGGTCAATCAGCTTGTTTTTTTCAAATCACGAGGAAATACATATATTTCGTCATGAAGTAATAAAGGGAAAAATTAGGTAAATAATCTAAAAATATATTTTAAATTAGAAAATGTATATGAAGTACATGGATTTTTCCAACTACAACTCTGTTCTATATAAAGGTAACAGTTTTCCCTTGACATTAAGTCTAGTAAAGTCCGACTCAGCTCCATTTCTAAACCGAAGAGCTGGTATGATCCATAGATATCTCCTAGGTACCTGCCGGAGTGGTACCTATTGATCTCCCATTTGCATGTTTTCAAACTGCTAGGTTGGCAGAAGCTGGGGCTAATGATGGGAGCTCATGCTGCTCTGTGGATTTGAACCACCAACCTTTTGGCCAGTAACTTCCACAGCTCAGCGGTTTAACCCACTGTGCCACCGTGGCCCCCTCGTCCATATACTATAAGTTAAATCCCTTTCCTACTTCCTGTAGGTTAGACCCACTGAATCAATGGGTTTCATATACATTTTGATTTATTGGTATTGGTACTAATAATTGGATTTATGGTATGTGATGAATCATAATGTTTAAATTATGGAGTTTGTTGATTATTGTAGTAGAGCTAATTTTTCAAAGTAATGCCATTTTTACATTAATATGTGAAAAAGAGAGGGTAGTATTAGTTTATCTGATGGTAATGTAAACATTTTCATACTGAGAAGAGAAAATGATAATTAATTGAAGAATTCAACTTTTGTAATTTTAGAATTTTCATAGTAATTTGATTTTTTAAATTTTTGTTTTATTTGACATAAGTTTTGAAAAAGCAGATTTCTGTGTGATCAAATGAGTATAACAACAACATAACATACAGTTTATTTTGCTTTTTTAGGTTGACATTGCCCCAGACAATTGGAAATATTTTCATTGAGCGATTAGCAGATTATATTCTGGTGAAAACTACCTTTGGCTTTTCCCTGGCTTGGGATGGAAACACTGGAATTTACATTAAACTAACAGAAGAACACACAGGGAAAACATGTGGTCTCTGTGGAAATTATAACAACAATACAGCAGATGATTTTGTAATACAAAATAGTAAGCACATAATCTATGTACATTATTTGTGACAGCACATTATTAGACCATATTCATTTGCAGTTCTCTGTGCTTAAAGGCTGTTAAACCAGCTGTAAATTGCAATTACATATTTTTCTCAACATTTGAGGATAATATTTATATTTAATATTCATATAATGCTTTAGATAGTAGTTCTGAATTTTGACCCCCCAGATGTTTGATCACAATTAATATAATGCCTGTCAGTCATCATGTGACCAGAGATCTTTATAGTTACTCCATAACTCAGTTACAAAAAGTTGCTCTCATTTATGGCAGTTTATCTTCTTTTACTTTTTAATACCTAATCATGTAAAATCAAGAGAATATATGATGTCAATTGAATTCTTTCACGCTACCAAAAGCATGTGAATTGGCTTACAATTTAAGGAGATATGCTTAGGGATGTAAGATATGCTTGTAGTTAGCACAGAAATACAAATGTGGTACTTGTGCTGCAGTTATTCAGATATATCTCATTTACCTTTCTTTGATTTTTTTAATATTACACTTTCTTCAAGATATGACAAACCATTATGATGGATTGAACATTCAGGATATATAATGACTGAAAGTTAGGCACTTGATATAGCTCCCTGAAATGGTCTGACATTTGCCACCCAATGAAAGGTTTTTACACGGGTAGGTGGAAAACAAGGGGAAAGAAGTGGGAAAAGAGGGAAAGTGGAGGAAACTGTCCTCCGTTCCCTACTATCTTTTCCTGTCTTCTGGGATGACCTTATATTCCACACGGTTTCCCATTCTTTCCCTGCTTCCTCTTCATGTTCTTTAATGAGGAGTCGGGTAACACCCGGCTGTCAAATCCACTCTGGGCTCCGTTACTCCACGCTGCCAAAACGGAGCCCCATGGAGTCCCATCAAAAGTTGCCCTGCATCATGTGATGGCAGGCCTGTAGCCAGGATTTTGTTTCGGGGGGGGGGGGCTGAGTCTGAGTGAAAGAGGGTCTACCCTAGCAAACCTTTTGTATCAGTTACCCCAATACCCCCATGCATATGGGATATATTGAGTATAGTGATCAGATCATGATATGAATAAACATAACAGTTTAAATAATGCACCAGTAAGGCCTTTTTCGCAAGCCACCATGAGAATTTCGGGGGGGGGGGGCTGAAGGCCCCCCAAGCCCCCCCCCCCCCCCCCCCGGCTACATGCCTGGTGTTGTTTTAATTTGCTTTGGTTTTTTTTTTCCATTTTGGCAATGTGGAGAAATGAGGAGAAGACGCAGATAATACTTTATCTTAGCTTTTCTTCAGATTCCAGCTGCTTTTGCATTCTCATACTTTCTTTTTGTAGTTCTTTGGTATTTAAGCTTTGAATTCATTATTATGCTTAAAGTGGGAGGGATGTACCAACCTAAAGGGGCTGTGTTTGTCCTAGGAAAGTCTGAACTGGGTTTTGTTTTATATAGATTGTAAGTCATCATTTGCGATAAAGCGATTCTGATTTTCTATCAGCAAAAGGGCTGTTTTCTCTAATGAGAAATTCCTCTTACAGTATAGACGTTCAATGTGTTGTCCAAGGCTTAATGGCTGAAATCAATGGGATGCTATGAGTCTTCTGGGTTGTATGGCCATGTTCCAGAAGCATTCTCTCCTGACATTTCACCCACATCTATGGCAGGCATCCTCAGAGATTATGACCTCACAACCTCTGAGGATGTCTGCCATATATGTGGGCAAAATGTCATGAGAGAATGCTTTTGGAACATAGCCATACAGCCCAGAAAACTCACAGTAACCCCAGTGAGTTCTCTTATGTTCATTAATGATGACTAAAGTCCACCTAGTACTTGGTCCCAACCTGATCACCCAATAATCTTTCACTAATGGGTTACTAATACCCTAAATACAGTAAATTACCAACTCTCTTAAATATCCCAACTCCATGTGTTTAAATACAAATTGCCCCATGTTGGGGTTCATTCTGTCATATTTGTTTCCAGCACAAGAATGTAGTTTTAGCCATATGAATAAAAATTCTATTAAAAAGAATGTAGTTTTAGGTTAAATATTGTTTGAGCCACACATATAATTACATTGAGTGCTTTGTTGTAAAAGAGAACTTAGCAAAGTCAAGTTTGGAACTGGTTAGAAGTCTGAGTAAGTAAATATATATTTTGATGTTACCTAGACAAAAATGTGGTGGCAAAATGTTGCTTCTTCTTGTGCCAAATTCTGTTTTTTATTAGGTGACTATTCAGAAGATATTGCTAAATTTGCAAACAGTTGGTTGGTGGAAACTCCAAATCACGCAGCTTGTGTAGCTACTCCCTCTGATTTTCCCAGTCCTTGCTATATTGATGCACAGTCTTATGAGGTAAGTTGTTCAGTTTGCTATTTCACATAATAATAGCCTCTACAACATGTATTTTGTGAACGGAAGGATTTTGTGCAAGGAAATCTTTTGAGCATTTGTCAATCTTGTATAAATCCCTGTGAATCCTTGAAAAATATTTTCTTGGGAGATTGGAAACCAAAAGTGTCTTGAAGGTGGTCTGATCATTTAGGTCATGGTTGTGAAAAGTGAAGTCCATGGGCTGTTTATCGCTTCCAATGCCATTTTCTTTGGCCTCAGGTGTTTGTATGTGTGTGTATTGCCCAAAATTGCCTTTGGGAATGTGAAGGGTATTTACACCATGTTTGGAAGCCCCTTGCCACTCCAGGGCTAAAACACATTTTGCAAAATGTTTCAATTTTTAGTTCAAAATGTCATCTGGGGGGTTGGTCAAGCATTAAAAGGAATTCTGTTGATTTGTTATAGCGATATTAGATCCTCATAACAATATCCATGCAGTGTGCGGGGTGAGCTGGAAGTGGAGAGCTTCTGTATTATAATGTAGTACATTTGCATTAGTAATTATCTGGCTCCTTCTACACACAGGACATCTACTTCAAGTGCCAAATACTCTTGCAGTTTCCTTTCTTTAGCTGCCATCGAAGCATAGACCCTTATCCATATATTTCCAGCTGTATGAATGATCTTTGTAGGTAAGCAGAGAATAAATGTTTTGTTGGTTTCATGGGCTGCATTATATAGTAGTTATTCTTATACAATTGTCTTGTACATGACTTTCTGCATCAGGAACAATTCTAAATATTCCAGCTAAGGTCAACAATCAGAAGCATGGGACTTACATTACTTGACTCACATTGGATTGACTTTCCTGGGGTCATGGATTCATAAAGCTGGCAGGAACTACAAGGGCTGTTTAGTCCGACGCCCTGCCATGCAGGTGTACAAAATGAACACATTCCTGAAAGATGGCTCAGCTTTTCAAAATAACATTACATTGGGAAGTCTTCTGCAGTTTTAATTTCAATTTTGGAAATGTCAATACTTCTCTCTCCCTTGAGGATAATGTTACTGAACACCTGAGCACATTTCTGGTCCTGAACCTGGCATCTTGCCTGACATTTCTACCTGAAATGTCATCTTTTATTTTTGCTTTTTTTTAAAATTTGAAATTGGTAGTAAGTAAGGATTGGAGTTTTGCTAATTTTGGGCTATTGATGAACAAGAATTCTTGCTCTGCAGTTCAATGCAAGAAGCAGTTTGTGGAGTCATTATCTATGAATGCCATGTCATTCTTTTTTTGAGATTTGTTTAATTCGATTACATGTCACAAGATGTGGAGCATCCAATAGCAATAAAGGAACAAAAAGAGCTTGACCTGATGACTGTATAAGAAGGAATTTCAAACCATTAGGATGCATACACATGCATATCATGTTAGATTTAGCTAGTAAGGGTTTATTTTGTCTCTTCAGAGAGAATGATGATGAAAGTTACTGCCGTGCAGTGACAGAATACACTCGATCATGTTCGCATGCAGGCTATCCAATACGAGATTGGAGAGATGATTTTCCAGCATGTAGTAAGTTTGGAGCAAGTTCTGTTTTAATATTGGCCAAATTAAATAAAACTGGTGTTGATCTTTTTTTGACCACCCTAATGTCAATACTAATGGGCCATTTCCAATGTAGTACCTCAACCGACAGCTATCGTAGTCATATTACAAGTATTCAGACACAAGAATAATTCTAGCCAATCGAATTTAGATACCAATTGGGATTAGTTAGACAGACTATCTGTTTTAGATCATACCAAGAAAGACATATAATGACTATATTTCTTTAAAGTATTTAGTTCTTTAAAACATCCCCCACCATATTAGATTTCAGAGCAGTTTTGAATGAGATTATCATGCTAGATTTCTTTTGATGAGATCTTGATTTTTGTAAATGCAGAATTATATCCCCACATTCCTTTCACTTTGAACAAACCTTTAAAGATGTTACTCTGTTTTGTTTTTAAAATTTGAACTTGACATAGATATTAAATTTAGGATATTAGTGATGAAGTACACTATATAAATATATAGTCTTAACAGTTATTGGTATTAAAAATATAATAAATAGTTCATGCATTTTGCATATTTGGCCAAATGAAATTAACCAGAATATAATGTTTAACTTGTTATATTGTAGTTGATAAATGTGAAGACACTTTTATCCACCGGGATTGTATTAGCTGTTGCCCACCAACCTGTACCTTTGAGAAAGATTGCCTTGGAAGTAACCTTCATTGCTTAGATGGATGCTACTGCCCAGATGGTAAATGCAATTTTAGCATTGAAATATGCCAAGAACAAGAGAAATATATTTAAATAGAGACTGTATTCAATTCATTTAGGTCTTCAGAAGATCCTGTCATGGATTTCTATGTTACATATAAAAAATACTTGCAGATTTCCATGCACAGCTGTTAAAAATGGTCAGAAATTACATTTTAGATCCCCAAATATATTAATGATTGATACAGAAACGTAGATTTGGTAATGTAATTAAAATGTGAGTGTGAGTGTGGATGGCCTGAGTATTCTGATTCCTTTGTTTGAGCCCAATCTGGCCATACACATTAGTACCTTGACCACCCCAAAATATCCTCTAAGGAGATAAGGTAGAATAAATCAGATTAGAGCAGGCATCTTCAAACAGCTGGAGGACCACAGTTAGAGGATGTCTGGTTTAGAGCCTTAGATTAAAAAAACTTTACAGAGTAGCATATAACCAAGCCATTTTAGAATAAAATATTCTAACAAGCATTTGAGTAGATGTACTCATTTACAAATGTCAAAGGGATATTTATTTGCAATGAAGAGACCCTTTGGGAAAAACATTACACAGTCAAAAATAACAAGATCTATCTGTATCAAGTTTACTCCAGTAAAATTCAGCAGGAACACAGCATATGCAGAGTGTGATACTATAAGCAGTAAGACAGACACAAATCTGAGTTACAAAATTTGAAGAAATAAAGGAGGGGAAAACTAACCCATAACAACCATGATAGGTCCCAATTCATGAATCAGAAAAACTCAGAATCTCCTAGTTATTTAGCTTATGTTGTAAGAGCAATTATCACTTTTGTTTACTATGGACAGAATTCCACCTTAACTAGATTTGAGGAACAATCTTTTGAAGCTGTCAATTATGGGATGAAATGTTATCAACATTCCTCCTCTTATGTCATGATATTTTGGCTGAGGAATATCCTCACAATCTTTGTTATATATTGAATGGCTAGTAACACTGTATTTTCTGTATTCTGTGATTTCATTAATGTTATTTTTGTTACTTAGGGCTTATTCTGGACAATGGAACTTGCATTTCTGTATCTGAGTGTCCTTGTATTTATCATGGCAGAGCTTTCCCTGTAGGCTCAACAATTGAGCAAGAATGTAGTAATTGGTATGTAATTTTTGTTTTTTCCCCTCTCCCTACTTTGTGTCTGAAAGCTCACAAGTCTTTAATTGTAAAGGGTTAGCTGTGTTATTCTGCTGTTGAAAGAATGTTTATATATATATATATATATACACATATATATATATATATATATACATATACATATATATATATATATATATATACACACACACACATACATATACATTTATTTAGTAAATAGCAAAACATTGCAAAATAAAGTTATATAACAAAAATGTTTGCAGTGCTTCTCTATCATTCCTAAATGCATACAACTAATGTTTTTCTTACATTACAATTTCTTTAGCATTTGTATTGGTGGAACTTGGAACTGTACTCAACATGATTGCCCAGGTCAGTTTTTTCTTTATAAATATGTAGATTGGTGTATACGTATGTGAGCTATCAATTGATTTCTAAATTAAGAGTATATCTACACTAAAGAATTAATGCAGTTTAAAACTGGCATGGCTCATGCTATAGAATCACGAGACTTATAGTTTTACAAGGTTTTTTAACTTTGTAAAACTTTAACTGCCAAAGATGCTGGTTGCTCACCAAATTACAAATCTGAGGATTCCACAGCATTGAGCCATGGTAGTTAAAATCATGTCAAACTACATTAAATCTACTGTGTAAATACACCCCTAATACCAGGTGGAATAAAATTAAATAAGTCTATAAAATAAGTAAAACTAATCTAACAGCACAATCCTATGCATTTTTACTCAGACACAACTTCCACTGAGTTCATTGGAACCATGTGTTCATGGGACTGCAGTTGTTTCCAGTCTTCAGTCTTCAGAATAGTGTCTCCAAAATTATTAACTCTAATTCATTCATCTTTCATGTAATTCCATTCAAATTATACATCATATGTTTCATGACATTAGTGCACATATAGGCATGTAGAAAGTTGTCTCTTCTTGATGGAACAGAGACAGTATAACTAATAGGACGCTTGGGTTTATAACAACAACAACAACAACAACAACAACAACAACAACAACAACAACAAACTTTATTTGTATCCCACCCCATCTCTCCATGGAGACTCAAGGTAGCTAACAAAATAAAAAGACAAACATGCTATGCCATCAAAATAAATAAATTAGTAAAACATATTTAAAAATCTTTCCCACTGTGGTATATAAGCCCACCCAACCTTTATTAACAGCAAATTACTTTTGAAGTGGTTCTAAGTTTTAAGATATGTCATAGATTAATAAAGAAAAAAGTAGAAAAAGAGATGCAAGAACTTCAGAAGACTATCTCACAGCTTGTTCCTTCCTGTCATCTCGCTGCATGGTATGGCTTTGCTAATTACTTCTTTTTGTCTTTAGCGGAGTGTTCAATTGTTGGTGATTCTCATTTTACAACATTTGATGGTCGTCATTACACCTTCATTGGGATATGTCAGTACATTTTGGTGAAAGGCACTGGGGAAGATAAATTTACAATCACTTTACAGAAAACTCCCTGTGGTCAGGTACAGTCACACTTGTATTAAAATTTCATAGTGATAAACCAATGCCTACATATCTTTATGCAGTTTGAGCCAATAAATTAAGGATTAGCAATGGTAAATCACTTTTTTAATAAAAAAATGAGCATCTAGTTGATCATAACCTGGATTTTATTTGAGTTTTAAGGATTGCCTTTTGTAAAACCAATTGTGCCTTTTACTGAGATTAAGTCTACAGAGCTTTTCATTCATGCATGATTACACAAGTATCTACATATTCGGTTACAGACCGAGCAGGTGTCTTAGGCAGATAAATGCTCTTGGTGACAGGGCTGAACAGTTTTGATATACAGCCAACCAGATAAGAGGCGTTTTGAAACTGACTGAGTTATTTATTTGATATTTTATAAACTCTCTCATTTCTTGGAAATCTGAGAGCTCAGAGAATATTGAAATATCAATGGCAGGCCATTCCAACTAGTAGTGGCTAAGTTATGCTGAGTTTGCTACAACATCAAATTCTTTTTAAAGTAATTGTTTGCATTACATTTTAAGAATAAAAAATATATGTTTGTTTACTTTGTTTAGAGTCAAAGGGAATGTCCATTGTTTATAAACTCCATAGTAAATGTCTTATGGAGGATGCATTATAACTTTACCTTCTACCTTTTATTCTAAAGTAGTAGCTTGACAGGAGACTGAAGCCTGACTCAGGGTCCATGTACACTGTAGAATTAATTCTGTTTGACACTACTTTAAGTGCCATGGCTCAATGTTATAAACTCCTGGGAGTTATAGTTTGTTGAGGTGCCAAACTATAACTCTTTGGCACAGAAGGCTAAAGCCACAAATCCCATGATTCCATAGTATTGAGCCATGGCAATTAAATTGGTGTCAAACTGCATTAATTCTATAATGTAGGTGCATCCTCTGTCATGAGGTATACTGAGTAAATCGTTATCTTACATATTGCTGTGAGGATAACATGACAAGTTTGGGGAATTCATTCTTGTTCCATGGAAGAAAGTGTAATAAAAATATAATGTTGGTCAAAGGAATGTTATCTAGTTCAATGAAAATGTTTCTGTATGTCATTCTTTTCCCCCCTCTGGAACACTCTGGCTCATACAGAACCTTGATCAAGCATGCATTCAGTCTGTAACACTTGTTCTTGAAGATGACATAAACAGGCAAGTGACTCTGAACCAGGGTGGTGAAGTTCAGTATGGTTCTTCCAGCCAGGCATTAAATCTAAATGGTAAGACATTTTTACTTTTATATTTCTGTGGGGTTTATATTGTTTCTGAGTTCTTTTAAGTAATTATGTTAGGGTTTATTTTTGAGTAGTTATAAAGATTAACCCTGGGCGGTGTTCATGATGGGCATTCTCATACAAGGACAAAGGATGGTTAGGCTCTACTTTTTAAAAAGTCATATCAGTTTATGGATTAATCAAGTTTTGTATCTTCACAAAGCTCTTTCTACAGCTTTAAAGCTGATAAATGGTGAAATAATTGAAGACATTGACAGATGAGCATACAGACGTCAATCGTCATGTGAACTGAGTTAGGTAGTTGGCCCGCACTGCTGGAATTCTATATGTGAAAGTAAATGCATAAAATGAAACAAGTTTTCTTGCTCTAAGCCCTATCATGTTACAGTCAATTGAAATATTATGTTTTTGGCATTGAATGATGAGCATGCAACTTTCACTCATCATGAGAACTAAATTAGAAAGTTATCCAACGACTCAACCATTCCGTAGGTGAAAGCAAAATATGTGAAATGAAGCACTATTTATAAGCTTCTCTTGTCATACATTTAAACAATATATCAAGATTTGAGGGTCTTTTTAGAGGACTATTATATAAAAGTATTTTAAATGGCTTGAATATGCACACATACACATAACCTGCAAGTGGCTATTTAAATTGTTAGTCACTTGAGAATGGATTGACTACTGCTCAACAGCCCCCCCTCCCCCCCCCAGCATTTTCTTCAACCTTTTAACAAGTTACTACTAGGGATGTGCAAATCTGTTCTTTTTTCATTTTAAATTTTGGTTGCCCCGTATTCTGTTTTTGAGAAGATTCCAGGAGATTAGGAGTGGGGCTATTTGGATTCGTAATTCAGAATGCTGAGTTCAGTATCCGTTTTGGGAAGAATCTACCCAAAAACAAATTAGGGGATGGGAGCACTTGAAAACAGAACAAAAACAGAACGTAATTCTCTGCCATTTTGCACATGTCTACTTACCACAGCATGCAGAGATAGTTGTTTTCATTTTTCTGCTGTTGTTTTTTTTGTAATTCTGATGATGATTGCAATGTTTATCCTTCAGTATCCCTGGTGTTTGGTTCCAGGGCATTCCCTCATCCCCATGGATACCAACATCCATGGATGTTCAAGTTCAATTATATATATTGGCATAGTAAAAGAGCATCCCTTACATAAAATGGCAAAGTCAAGGTTTGCTTTTGGTTTTCTTTAAATGTAGTGAAATCCGTGGATGCAAAATCCATAGACATGGGCCCCTTCCACATAGCTATATAAAATCCACATCAAACTGGGTTATATGGCAGTGTGGACTTAAATAACCCAGGTCAAAGCAGATATTGTAGATTATCTGGTTTAATATTCTGGGTTTTACAGCTGTGTGGAACGGCCCATGGAGGGCTAACTGTATATAGTATGTTTTAAAAAGTAATATACTATATGACATAAGCGACAAAATAATTTGAAGTGTGTGGATTTTGAAGGTTTGCCACTTGTTAGTAGAGTTGGACTTTCATATCCCTAGCTTCTGCATCCATAGATTCAACCAATCACAGCTCAAAAATTTTCAGAAAAAAACATATCAAGCATGAAACTGGTGTGTAGCATGCCTTCTACCATTTCATAGATCCCCAGTCCCTTTTCATCACTACATTACATTGTTGTTCACACAATACATTTTTATACAAGGAACACCATTTTACCATGCCGTTATTGAGCAACCATGGATTTTGGTATTCATGGGAGTCTTGGATCCAAACTCCAGCAGATACTAAGGGTGCACTGTATCCCATGAGTATGAATAAGAATAATCAGGCGTTAATTCTCTGTAATTCAAAGAGATATTTGATGTGGACTTGCCTAAAAATGGAAATGCTCTTGTTTGTGAAGAAATTGAGTTCCAGTAGCAACTGGGATCAGCGGGAAGTATTTCTTTGACCATCTTTTCTCTTGCGGCCTCTCATGGAGGCAGCACTAGCTCATCTGATGTTCTAGAGTGTGTATATGTCCCCAGGTCTTTCAGAGCAACTTTTCAGGCTAGCTTAGATCCATGAAGAGGTGAGGAAAAATGAACGAAAACGGTATTTCTTCCTTCCCTCAGTGACTATATCATAGATCTCATGTGTATCTACTCATGTTTGCCTTGAACAATTGTTGGACTTTGTTCTTAGATCTTCATTTTCTTCCCTTCTGTGTAGGATATGTTGAAGTGCAGAACTTGTCTTCATTGTTTGTGCAGCTGAAAACTAAATTTGGCTTAAAAATCCATTTTGCTAAAGATGGTGAAAGAGTTTATATTCAACTCAGCACTGACTGGAAGAGCAGAACATTGGGACTTTGTGGAACTTACAATGGGAATTTGAGAGATGATTTTCTGTAAGTTTAACTGATACAATTCCTTCATTCTTTTATTTAACCTTCTGGTGAACTCCTAAATAAATTATGTGTAATTACAGTTGATGGTCATAAGATGATAATTGAGTTTAGCCATGCACTGATTCCAATTGCTATGACAGAGCTTTTCTGGAGAATGGTTATATTTGTGTTTGACCACTCTCCCAAATTTAACGGCTATAGAGCATCGACAAATATTCACCTTTCACAATATATGATTGTCATCATGAATTTGTTCTCAGGCAATCCTAGAAGCTCCGTCAGAATAAAAGGAAATTAACATAAAGCTGAGTCGTTAATCATAAAGACAATATGTAAATTGTAAGATGCCTATGTTCTAATAAATATAGAAGCAGCAGCAGCAATTGTTACTTATGCCTCTCTCTGTGAATTGAAGTAGGGAAACAATACCCTTTCCTCACCACCAATACAGTTCTTCTCAGAAAGGAAACTTAATGCAGTAAGAAAATGGATATAGGAGCCCAGAAAACATCTAGATGTCTCAGTCTCAGCCTGTGAATGAGATATTTGTGATATTTGTTATGTATAAGACTGAATACCACACACTAATGTTTTTTGCATTGATTTTTAGTGGCATACCATAACTATGTTTGTGACCTTGAGTCTAGTACACCATCGAATCTAATGTATACCTCAATTTTCAAAACTTGGAAACCCTTCTGGCAAATGTAATGTGCAGTGGTAAAATGTGCACTCTGTTGTTTGGTCAAAAAGTGTGCATTACAGTTGCTGCCTGCTTAGAATTTTTCTTTAAAACACAAAAATGTTAGAGCACCAAAGTTTTCAGCAACGGAAAGGAAAATGTTGGGGTGAATCTATGCTGGAGAATGTATCCACATTAACTGCCTTGGTTCAATGGTATAGAATCCTGAGGGCTGTAGTTTGACAAGGTCTTGAACGTTCTCTTCCAAACTTACCAAACTACAAATCATAGAATTGCAAAGGATTGAGTCCTGTCCATTTAATTAGAGATGACGCCCCTCAAAGAGGATCTCCAGGCCGCAGCTCCTGAAGCACCTTCCCCTTTTGCTTTGGCTCAGCACTAAGATCCCTGTGTGACACAAATCTAATGTGCACCCCAATTTTGACAAGGTATTTAGCCAAAAAAGGTGAGCATTAGATTTGAGTAAATACAGTTATGGCTTGCTAAAGTTTGATAATACAATTTTCTCTACCAAGCCTTCAGGCATCTTCTCCTGGGCAATCTGATATTTCTGATATTTAAATCATGTGGATTTTTCTTTCAGATCTCCAGCAGGAATGATTGAGGGTACTCCACAGCTTCATGCTAATGCGTGGAAAGTTTCATCAACATGCCATGTGCCTGTCAACATCCCTGTAGTTGATCCTTGTAACATTAACCAACAAAATGGTGTGTTTTTATTTCACAATTTTGACATAGAGTTCTCATAATCGAATTATTTGATCATCCTTTGCTGGTGTCTGAGATTTATTACTATCTTCAAATGAACTGGGTTTCTTCTTTTGATCTGCTCTTTTGACAACAATCATATCAGTAAGGGTGAATCAATGTCATCTTTGTTGATATGTAGTTGATTCAAATATGACTATTCAATACATCTCAGTGGTTACTAGTTGAAGTCATATCAGAGGGATGATGAATCAAGGTTTTAGAAAACGCTTTACAAGTGCTGACCCTATTTGGGAAAATAATTAAGCAACTTAGAAAGTTCCTTTAAAGGCAATATTCAAACCTGGTGTAGCTTCTTCATTGCACTGACATGTGAGCCACCAGCTACTACAGTTTACTTTCATCGGGTTGAATCTACTGACATTGATGGAATGAGGATTATGCCCTTATATTTGTGCACATTGTTTGAGCAGCCTTTGGCTTTGCTGTGGTATGTATTAACTGTCTTTGTAATTTATTTTTGTTGAACGTTTTGACAGCATTAACATTATAATGAGCCAGATTTCATTTTCCCTTAGCTGGATACGCATCCCAGTGTGATGTCATCAATCAAGAACTCTTTGCTCCATGCCATGTCTATATCGATCCAGCACTATATTACCAACTGTGTCGCTTTGATGCTTGCAAATGTGGAAGCAGCTGTTTGTGCAATGCCTTGGCTCACTATGCTCATATATGCAGAAAACATGGAATTAGTATTGACTTCAGATCCCAAGTCTCATATTGTGGTAAGTTTTTGAATATGGACATAGTTTATACAAAAATTGAAATGTTCTTAGGACAGATGTATTCAATAAAACAATGTATTCAGAATCTACTTGTTTTCAAATTTGTCTATCTTACAGACACACAAAGAATTTAAGCAGATAAAGTTCATTGTTATGATTAGAACTTCTCTACATGTTCATAAAGCAACTAAGAAAAACTGGTACTGGATTGGACCCAGCAGCAATTCAGATTTCAAAACCCCTCTAAAAGACTCATACTTTAAGATACCATGAAATGATTGTATTTAAATTAAAATGACCACACGTGACCCTCTTTCTCTATGGACCTCATCAAAAAGGCCCATGGATTTGCCCCATGAATCCATGGGCTCCTGGAGGAGCCACCGCTCCATGCCCCACATCACCCGCCTTAGCTTGCCTCTCATCCCATGGAGGGAAGCATCACCCCATGGGGAGGAGGCACACCATCAGCCTTTCCTTGCCTCATCTCATGGGGAGACAGCAACACAGGAAGTCTCCCATGTTGCCACAGCTGTGGCATGCACTGCTTCCTCTTTCTTTTCGGCACAGAGCCCCTGACCAGAAGTGTTTATATGTCATGTGAGGGCCTTAGTGTCAAAAATTGAGGGGAATCAGTGTATGGCAGGAAAATTGGCCTGATGAGGTAGCAAATCTGTAATCTCTTTCTTTTTACAGTGCAGACCACTGAATTTATCCCTATTTGTAACAATGTCAGCAAATGGTAGAGGGCAGTATGTTTCAATAGACAGAATTTGAGAATTTGTGCTCAGTTACTGACACATTGACCTTTTTTTATACATCACAACAAGTCATGGTGTAGCTTGTTGACATTTGGTAGAGGAGAGGAGTTCATCTAAGTTTGTTAAAGCATAATACCTTCACTGTTTTTTTTTTAAATTTCCCCTGAAATCAAGAATTGTGTCTCCACAGCATTGGTGTGCAAAAGTGGTATGCTGTACCACTCATGTTCTTCTTTTTGTGAACATTCCTGTTCTTCCCTTCCTGTCTTGGATACTTGTGACCATGACTGCGCTGAAGGCTGCAATTGCCCCCAAGGAAAATACTTTGAAGATTCTATCAACTTTTGTGTGCCAGTGTAAGTTTTGCTAAATGTATTTATCTACAGGGTGAGGGTTCTTAAAATACATTCTAGCTCTACTGTTCAAGATGTTTCCCCTTGCTTTTCTTAACAGAGTTAAGATCATATATGTGGAGTAGACCCTTTGGTGATACAGGTTGATATCCCTTATTCAAAATGGTTGGGGCCAGAAATATTTTGGATTTTAGGGTATTTTTTTGGGATTTTGGAATACTTGTTTTCCAAGATATCTCATTATACATATGCATATATAACGAGATAACTTGAAAATGGGATCCAGGTCTAAACATGAAATTCATGTACGTTTCATATATATCTTATGCACATAGCCTGAGGGTAATTTTATATATAATATTTGGAGTAATTTTTTGCATGAAATAAAGTCTTCATACACTGATTTACCAGAAAGCAAAGATATAACTATCTCAGCCACCCATGAGGACAATTTTTCCTTTTGGGGGCTAGGGTTATGGATCATCTGTTTACCAGCCTTTCAAAGATTTGATGATTTCACTGGGATCATAGTATGCCATAGGTATTAGTTAAGGAGTACCTTAATAAGATACCTGCACAGCCATCAGCAATTCAAATTCCACAATGCATCTCTGTCACCAATCGCAAATATGTCTCAAGAAAAAACGTATATGAATCAGACTATAAATCTGATTTATTGTTATATTCATAGGTGTTTCCTGACAGTCATAGTGACATTATTAGGCCAGATTTTCCATAATATCTTTAAATGTTGTTTATAGAGTATAATGGGGTTATGTAATGGTTTACTTCATTCATATGCTTTGTATGTTCAGGACTAGTTGTCGGTGTTATTATAAAGGAAGAGGTTTTCAACCTGGGGAAATTCTGCCCACACCATCCGGCTCATGGTAAGTTATAATACTAAGAGTTTCATTTTTTAATCCATCACATATGGGAGTACAGAATCCATATTTTGTACATATATAATTTTAGATCGTTAGTTCTTATGATCAGTTGCTTTTTCTACTGAATATTTAGTTTGCTTTCACAAACAAGTTTAATATATTGCTTGCTGATTATGTTAATTTTATTTATTTATTTCTTTAAACTGAAATATGTTATTAAACCGTAGGCAATATTGTCTACATTTCAAACTGTCTTACATGCTTGGAAACAGCATTTAGTGCACAGAAAATAATATTTCTGTACAGAATTCTGTTTATTTTACACAGAATTCTTCTGCACAAGAAATGCTATTTTCTGCACAAAGAATGATATGTGAATTTTGTGTGAACAAAATCCAAACTGGAATAGTCTTCAAAAATTGAACAGTTTTCAAAGTCTTCCTTGTAACAGGAAGAAATGCCCACAAATCTATTGTTTCTGCCCTTAAGAATAAAATTAGTGAAGTATTCTTATTCTGGAGTATGACTGGCCAGTTATGCATGATTGAGTACAGCAGCAATGTAAAATGAAATAGGGCATCCATGATCCTGTCTTTGAAACTCTATGTTCTTACCCTAATACATTCAGACTATAACAAACAATTCCAAATATAGCTCATATTAGAGAGCCCTATGAACTGACTTGGAAATCCCAGACATCTGAGTCATCTTTTCCATACAAAGTGGATTAAATGCAAGTATTATCATGAATAATGTTTTTGAAGTTTAGCATGTAATTTTGTTGTATTCCCATGTTATAGTGTCTTTATTGCATTGTCATATCAGGTTTCAAAAATCTTTTATGATGAACATGTTGCTGTTGATAAAATCAGAATTGTAGTTTTCTCATATTAAACTATGAACACACATATTTTATTGTTCACTGACTAGCCAGTGTCTAAATGGAACAATGAGATGTACGGAAGCTGCTGCAGTTCCTGCAGGTAATTACATTTTTTGTTGTTGTTGTTTTCAGAAAGCGTTAAAGAAGTTTAGATTCAATCCCCATTTGTCTTAGATAGAAGAATATCAGTTGTATTCATTGTTTGGAATTAGCAAAAATTAATATTGATATTCGAATAGATCTAGTGGGTGCATTATTATCCTTTAAAATACTGACTAATTTTTTAGCCTTTCCCAACGTTATAAATAAAAATCTTAGCAATAGGACGTATGGGTGGATGTACTCTGTTTATGTTCAGTGAGTGAATATCAGTTTATTGATTTATGAACTATTGTATTTGTATATATGTGAAACTTTAAAAGGTTTGGGTTCCAAGTCTACAGTTAATGGTGTCTGTCAAACAAATGTAACATTCATTGCAACTGATAAAGTAGACAGTTCCACACAGCAGAAAAGTCCATGCTGTCCCGGGTTTAAAAACCCCAGGTTGGGGTGGACTGCAGTCAACACAGCAGCCACAAAAGCCCACACTTTTGCAGCTGGATGTTCAGATGCACTTCCAGAACCTTCTGGGGAAACACCTCAACACTCAGAACCTCTCCCAACCCACCCAAACTCTTTAAAAAAGAAAATAACTTACAAGGCCAGCATTTCTCTGCTGTCTGCCCTCTCTTGGCACTTAGAAAGTATGTTCCAGGAGAAGGGAGGACCAAGGGCAATTTTCCTCCTCTCTCCTCCTGGCGCACCATTCCTAAGCACCAGGAGAGGGCAGGCAGCATGGAAATGCTGGCCCCATAAGTTATTTTCTTTTTAAAATGCTTTGGGGGGGGGGGGGGGTTAGGGAGGAGGTTACAGCCCTTTTACATTTTTCAGGCTGATTCAGCCCAGAAAAACATGATGGGGCTATCTGGACTGCTCCCTCAGAAGTCCGGGACTTCTGAAGGGGCAGTCCAGACAGTAGCCATAGTGGGTTTGTCCTGTGCCTTACAAGAAGGTGTGGAACAAACCCACTAACAAATTGTCTCCATGCGAAGCAGGGTTTTTCTGCTTTGCGCCAAAATCATTTGTGATTTTGTGAGGCATCATTTGGACACTCCAGCGAATATCATGTTTTGCACCCCCATCTGGATTCACCTGTTGTCTACAAAAGCTCATGCTACTAACTTTATGCTCTCAGTTAATCTCTAAGGTGCTACAAGATCCCTTTACTTATTGATATTCCAGACTCACACTGCTATGCCTTTGAAATATAAAACAATATTTTACTAACTTCAAATACTTTGTAAAATACAGTTTCCTGTATCACTGCTGGGTGATGTAAACAGAGAATTATCCAGAAGCAATTCAGTATGTTTAAGAAATTAATTGGTACATTTGATTTACATGAAATGAACTGAAACTTGTCAAATAAAAAGCTATTTGATGCATGCTGAACTTTGAACTGCTTTAGAGCATAATTTATAAAATGTCAGTGTTCATGTTTGATTTGGAGAGTTCTGACAATCCCAGACATTGTCAGACAGTAGTAATCCTACACATTATAAACTGAAGATTTTAAATAATGTAAAGAATAAAGTGTTACATTGTAGCTAGCAGAATTTCTTGATTTATATTGCTAGTTATGAGCCATTAAAAATAAACACTTGAATTCCAATTCATTTCAAGATAGAATTAAGCATATATTGATCTCATGCACATATTTCCAGTCCAGACATGTCCTGAAGGAAAAATCTACTATGATTGCCGATCTCATGTACCTGGCTTGCCATCTGCTGGAGTAAACTGTGAGCTGTCATGTGCAAACCTAGCCATGAACTTTACCTGTGCACCATCTCCTCCATGTGTAAGTGGTTGCATTTGTCCTCCTGGGTAAGTATTTCTGAGAGTACTGGACTGAGAAATATGGGTTTTTTTAAATTTAAAAATGATTTATTCCTCATCACTTTCAGTAATTTCAGAGATCCATAGTGATTTTTTTCTTTATGATTGGTTTTTTTTTAAAGCTTAATTTCTCTTGTAAATATATGAGGAGAACTTTTTAGAAACAAGGTAATCAATAGACCAAATTTGGAAAATTACATATTTGACAAATCAAGAAAAGAGAGTTTTGCCTAATGTATATTGAGCCTTGTAGTGAGTTTTTAGAAAAAAGCAAGAGGTCTACCATTTAGATGTTTTTGTTTCATCCAATCTGGGACTTGGAAATGTTAGAGTATTTGGAGTACAAATCCCATAATTCCCCAGATATTATGACCCTGGGTGTCTGAAGCAATCATATTCATCATCTTTATTTATACTCTGCCCCCTCTCCCCAAAGGGACTCGGAGCAGCTTACAACAATCAACAAATAGAAAAATAATATAACCAATAGACAAAGTAGGGAAGTAATGAAAAGATTTCAGAACATGGCAGGATATTGCACCAAACTATAGTTTTTTTTCCTGCATGGCAGAGGAGATCTGGACTGGATGGCCCTTGGGGTTTTTTTTGTTGTTGTTGTTGTTGTTGTTGTTGTTGTTGTTGTTGTTGTTGTTGTTGCTGTTGCTGTTGTTGTTGTTGTTATGAAGGCTGGATGACCATTTGTTGGGGGTGCTTTGACTGTACTTTTCCTGCATGACAGAAGGGGGTTGGGCTGGATGGCCCTGGTTTTCCACTGAAATACTGTTAAGTTTATGTTGGTTAAAATTGTTCTTCATATTAAATACTGTATTGTTCTTTCTTGCTTGCTATCTTTTTTTCTCTTTGCACTGTGTGAATTGGTTCATACAAATACTTTCCATCCATATCTCACTGTCCCAGCACATGTCCGATATATACCGGATATTCCAGGGTACTAGACAGCTTTTTAGGCACGTAAAACCTTATAAAATTTTGGGGTTCGTATATTACGCCGGGTATAAAATTAAAATAATAAAATTACAAACTACGGCTCCCAGAATGCCTCGGGGAGCCCATCCCAGGCACGCTGCGGCCCTTGGGGGTCTCTCTCTCCTCCTCCTCACCGGTAAAGCCTCTTGGTGTGGAGGGCCTTGGCCATGGGCTCCCCTCCTCCTCTGCCTCCACCTCCTCCACTGTCTTGGCTCATGGCAGCCTCCCAGGCAGGCTCCCCATCCTTCCTGGCTACTGTGTTGCTCAGGCTAGGAAGGAGAGCGGCCTGAGCAGAAGGGCCTCCTGTGCTGGTCAGGCCACTCTCCTTCTTCCTGGCCAGGCCTCGTGAGAAGCACATCTTCTCCCGCAAGACAACTTTGTCCCATGGGAGAAGAGGCACTTCCCGCGAGGCTTGACGGAGCTGGGAGGCAGAGACGCCATGGTGGCAGGAAGAAGGAGAGCGGCCTGAGTAGCACGGGAGGACCTTCTGGATGCGGCACAGGAAGCAGCCCAGAGGCCCAAGGGCAACCGCAGCCAGGCATAGAGGACAGAAACCACCTGGCGTAGAGGACAGAAAATGCGGAGTCATCTTAAACGGCGATTATATCCCCAACTCTCTATTTTGTGTGCTAAAGTTGGGGGGGGGGTCATCTTATAGCCCCAGTCGTGTAATACCCCGGAATATATGGTGCACATTATAATATAATATGATAATATAATATAATATAATATAATATAATATAATATAATAATCAAACATTTCTTGGGGCTCCAGAAGAAACTTTTGCTTCAAAAAGGGCTCCACCACTGAAAAAGTTTGAAAACCCCTGCTCTAGTGGCAATGTTTTGAAATAACTTCTAACATAACATATTTCAAGACTGCAGTGTTTCAGTGGATACATAACCCCTACAATGTCAGTGTTGATGACTGATATAAATCTGCTGTTGCTTCCAAGGCGTTTGTTTTCCCTAATATATTCAACAGAAAGTGGGCAGGTTAATGTGATCACCATTTGTCTTCAAGCACATCTAACCTTACCTGATCCAAACATGGAAATGTATTCTTTCAGCACAACTCACAGACACACCCTCTAGCATGCCGCCTATGGGTATTCTATGAAGTGTAATTTCATGAAGTATATACATATTTAAAAACCCAATTGAAGCTCTGCCTGGATTTCAGTTTCATAATGATGCAATTGATTTTTTTTTTCAGTGAAGAAGATACAAGTGAGTCAATCACAGATATCTAGTATCTTATTTAATTTGATCCTCAGAATGTCATCTCTTTCTATATTGATCTTGGATTCACTTTCCAGACTACATAAAAAAATCTCTGCCTTTGGTAATGGACTTTTCAGTAGAGTCTTGAGTAGATGTAATAACTCACAACATTACTCTGAGTAAAAGCAACCAGCAAAAAGAGCATGCACCAGTAGCCAAATGGGTTGCTTATTATCATAATTGTCACAGAGTGGAGAAGAACAAATGCCAGTTCATTACCTTCTGCATTTTGCTCAGATTTAAGTATAAATGTATTCATTGAAACTGTATCCTCCTTTGCTAAATTTTGTAGGACTGTTATTCAAGATAACCATGCCAAATTATTTCAAACACTTATTTAATCAATCAGGTTTTTTTGGCCTCCTGGAATTTCCCAGCCATATATTCAAATAAAGTAACTTTTCCAAGTCAATACATTAAACCTGACTGGTCATACAATTGGAGCAACTACTACCTCTTATAGACGACTATTCTGCCTGTACTAATCAAACAATACTTGCGCCAATTTATGCATTTGTTTATTCTAAAGGATGGCAGAGCATAAAGGAAAATGTTATGTGCCGGACAGTTGTCCATGTACCTGGAAAGATTGGGAATATATGTCAGGTGAAGTGATAGCTACACCTTGTTACACATGGTAAGTAGTTTATATTCCATTACAGTTTATTTAGAATTGTACATAATATGACATTAGCCATTTGTTCTTTGAGTTAAATAATGTGATTAAGCTTAAAATGATATTTTAAAAACATAATAAAATAAATGTATCTGAAAGAAGCTCATAGCCTATTTATGGGAAACAGATGAGTAATTTTCTTTTGCGTCAGGAGCGACTTGAGACACTGCAAGTCGCTTCTGGTGTGAGAGAATGGGCTGTCTGCAAGGACGTTGCCCAGATGTTTTACCATCCTGTGGGAAGCTTTTCTCATGTCCCCACATGGGAAACTGGGGCTTCCAGACAGGAGCTCACCCCGCTCCCCAGATTCGAACCGTCGATCTTTTGGTCAGCAGTTTTGTCGGCACATAGGTTTAACCCATTGTGTCACCAAGTAAATGATTTAAATATTTTAAAATGGGATCATATCAGATAATGTTATCTTCTCTGGACCTGTAACTTGATACTAGAGATTGCAGACATAATGGTTGTCAAGAACATCCAACAGCACAGATTATTAACTTGATGCAGCAGAAACTGGACCTTATATTCTATAATGCAGAAATATCTCTTTAAAAATAATAAGCCATTAAAGTTGTATAACCAACAAAACCCAACAAAAACCCCAAATCAAACAAAAAACAAATGGACAGACCTCAGAAGGGGATCAGAGAAGAAAGAAATGGAGGGGAGGTATACAGAATATGAGCCAGAACTAGGCTCATGTTCATACAAGCTAACAATTTTTCCAAAAATAGACTTCCTAAAAGCTGGTATCATAAAAAACATGTTCACATATAGCTAAAAAACAGTATAATGTTTGGACCATACAATGACTGATGAGGAATGTTTAATGCTCCAACCTTGAGTAAAAGCCTTTTGGCAACAGTAGGTAAAGGTAAAGGTTTCCTCTTGATATTAAATCTAGTTGTGCCCGACTCTGGGGGGTCATGCTCATCTCCATTTCTAAGCCGAAGAGCCAGCATTGTCTGTAGACACCTCCAAGGTCATGGTGCCGGCATGACTGCATGGAACACCATTATCTTCCCGCAGAAGCAGTACCTATTGATCTACTAACATTTGCATGTTTTCAAACTGCTAGGTTGGCAGAAGCTGGAATTAAAAACGGAAGCTCACCCCAGTTCCCAGATTCGAACTACTGCCTTTCTGGTCAGCAAGTTCAGCAGCTCAACAGTTTAATCTGCTGCGCCAACAGGGGGCCCTAGCAAAAGTTAAAACAATTAAATTATACATTGCAGGAATGCAGTTTAAAGAATGTGTGTATCCCTGTTACACGAAGCTGAAGAATTTTTGGCTCTTCAAATGTTTTGGTGTACTCCCTCAATTTTTACCATACACCAAGCTGGGTTTTTTTTCTGTGCTGAAGTGAAAATCAACAGGAAAGCATTATACAAGTTGATGAAACTGTATATGAATAAATAACAGCAATTTAACTTTTGTAAACTATTTCTTGAATCTGCTTCATTATAAGAAAGAGTACATTTTCAACTCACAAACTCTCTCTAATCAGATAATCTTGATCTTTTCCCCAACAGTACTTGTCGGCGTGGGATTTTTAATTGCACTTACTACCCTTGTCCTGCTGTATGCACAGTCTATGGGGATCGACACTACTATACCTTCGATGGACTAGAGTATGATTATGTCAGTGACTGCCAGGTTTATTTGGCAAAGGTAAGGATGCCTTTCCTTTTAAATGTTTGGTAAAGGTAAGTATGCTTTTCTTTTTACATTATTGTATAAACCTGAAGAGGGCAAATGTGATCTTTCGCCATGGTTCTCAAGGGCATAGGGGACATATTTAGTAAAATGAAATCCAAAAAAGGAAATATAAGCCAAGGCAAGATGATGTGGTCTTTCAAGCTCTCATGAGAGGACAATGCAGTCTCCCAGCCAGCCTTGCCCTGGGAAGATCACGAACATTTCTTATGTGGTGCATAATATAACTGATGTGGATGAGAAAAGCAATACTGAAAAGGCAAGCCAATGATTCGCCATACTTATTTTAGAACTCACCTCGGGGAGATAGGGCGAAATATCAATAAAGTTTTATTTTAATATTATAGAAGTATGCATTTTGAGTATATTTGTAACCCTCCCCTCTATCTGCCACAATAATTTTCTGTTTAGTCTGCTAGGGACATGTAGAGTTCTAAAGTTCAGCAGAGAAGTTGGCATTCACAACAGCAAGATAAGTGGCATATTGCCCGCAAGCCTTTCATCCAACATGCAAGATGACACGAGTGATGAAAACATTTGCTGTGTAGATTTTTGATACTAGAACTCGCTTCATTATTTTTTAAGACAGGTGCAATGCTAACTCTGCCTAGAAGGTTTTCCAGATTTTGGGCTTTTTATAATGGGTGAAATACTATTTCATAATAGCTAATTTGTTCATAGCATTTGGATTGTGCAGAACTGTTGAAGGATTTCTCTGGCCTTGCAGAAAAGCTGTTGACTGTAGTTTAGACCAGATATTCTCAGAATGTATCATAGAGTACCTCCCTGGAAGGCCTCATTGCTGAACTGGGAAGGCGATTTAGAAAGGCATACATTTGGAAAGGCATTGTACAGGTATACTTCAGTTAATGAGATAGAAGTGTTCCTTTTTTAACAAAAAAACTTGGCAGAAATAACTTTTTTGTGGGGAGCTGGAGCTGACAGAGGGAGTTCACCCATGCTCTCCTCAGATTCGAACTGGCAACCTTCAGGTCTGCAACCAAACCTTCAGGTCAGCAGTCCTGCCAGCACAAGGGTTTAACCCATTGTGCCACCGGGGGCACCAGAAATAACATGGAAAATATAAGGATAGCTCCTTGAACCACAAATAAGCAAAGGTCTACCTGCAATTCTCTATGCACCCTGTTACAGTATTCATGTTTCTAAACTTATAAAGTATCCTTTTATTTTATTCTCCATCCCCAAACAATTCATAAATTTGTAAGTCCACTCATTCTGTTTTACCTACCAATTCTTTTAGCCTAAGACAATATTTCTCCTGTGAAGCCCATATTAATATCTTGAACCAAAAATCAAATCAAATCTTCAGATCTGCCCTTTTAAATTTCAACCTTGGTTTTTTGCTGAGCGCTTAGACACACACACTTTGGACATCATTAAAAACTGACACATAACTTGAGGGTGAGATTTTTTCCATAGTAAACAAAGTTTTTGCTCTGTTTAGCTACATTTTCACCTTTAACAAAAATTCTAGCATCTCCTCCCCCAAAGTCTCCTAATCCACTCTCTTCCTTTATTTATTTATTTATTTATTTATTTATTTACTTTACTTGTATACCGCCGTTTCTCAGCCTAACTGGCGACTCAACGCCGTTTACAACAAGATAATCAACAACAATATACTATTTAAAATCATAATAGCACAATATACAATATCAACACAACAATAACAACACAATGCATCTCATAACTAGAGTCGTGATCCAGATTCGTCGTCCATATTTCCATTCCTGTAATCGTCACATTCATTGCACTGATTAACCAAATAACATCCAAGTCTTCAATCTCTTCCGAAACACCATCAGCGAGGAGGCTGATCGTACCTCTAAAGGGAGGGTGTTCCAAAGCCGAGGGGCCACCACAGAAAAGGCTCTGTCTCTCGTTCCCACCAGCCGCACCTGTGAAGCAGGTGGGATGGAGAGCAGGGCCTCCCCTGAAGATCTTAGGGTCCTGGTGGGCTGATAGGCCGAGATACGTTCGGATAGGTAGGTTGGGCCAGAACCGTTTAGGGCTTTAAAGGCCAACGCCAGCACTTTGAATTGGGCTCGGTAGCAAATCGGCAGCCAGTGGAGCTGGTGCAGCAGAGGAGTAGTATGCTCCCTGCGCTCCGCTCCTGTTAGTATCATGGCTGCCGAGCGTTGGACTAGTTGGAGCTTCCGAGCCGTCTTCAAAGGCAACCCCACGTAGAGAGCGTTGCAGTAATCTAAACGGGATGTAACCAGAGCATGGACTACCGTGGCCAAGTCAGACTTCCCAAGGTACGGGCGCAGTTGGCGCACGAGTTTTAACTGTGCGAATGCTCCCCTGGTCACCGCCGAGACCTGGCGGGCAAAGCTGGGTCAAATTCACTCCTCCAGCTTCGTCTAGCCAGGTCTCTGTAATGCACGCCAGATCTGCCCGTTCATCCAGGATTAAATCCTGGATGAAAGCTGTTTTACCGTTGACAGATCTGGCATTCAACAGCACCACCTTCAATTCGGAGGGACCGCCATCCTGGTTACACCAACTTACCACATCAGGAGACTGATTTGGATAGACTAATGTTGTTCCACGATCCCTAGTCCGAATTAGAGGTCTCCCTTTCCCGTATCTCCCCCTCCCCACCACGACTTCTATGGGGGCTCCTCGACTGATGGAACACCCTCCCTCCTCCATGACGCAATCCACATCCGTGGTTTCACCCCATGCTTCACTACTGATTATTTGGCTTATTGTAGGTTCAATTCGCCATGGTTTTCCCTCCCATTCATTTCTTACTTCGGCTATGCTGTTTCCAGAACTCACTAGTCCACTCCACTCCTTATCAATACCACAGCCAGTTAGCAGAAGGGTTAACAGGAACCAGGGGATGGGTAGCAGCATGGGTGATAGATGTTACAACAATATCAATTAACTTCCCCAAAGTTCTTAAAGTGCAAGCAAATAGTTGTATCAACCTTGCAAATGGTAGAAATGTTAATAAAGTGCAATAATTTATAAAGTTAAATCTAAAGTTCTAGAATAAAGTGCGTCATGGAGGAACTACTACTTAAGTGCTAGAGGACTAATCCCTGGGTTAAAGTGCTGAAACTTGGCCAGTGCTACAACTTGGCAAGATTAATGGCCCAATACAGTGCGAAGGCAATAGTTAAAGTGCTAGTATGCTAAAGTGCTGGAGTTATACAAAATAGCAGCACCATTCAGAATGTTGATAGAGTTATTATGGCATACAATTGCAAACAATGGACGACAAAAAGAATCACTGGATGGTTGTTCTTGATCTTGAACCTTCCGGGAATAAGATTAATGTCTGCGGTGATGGTCTTCGGCACAGCCTGACAGCACGATGGTAAGGACGGACAACACAGGTGGTCAACACAGCAAATTGGGCAGCACAAACGGTCGGCACACGTAGATGGTTAGTTGGTCAGCACAAACCGGTCAGCTCAAGTTGGTCAACACAGCGTCGATAGCGTACACAATTGGCCCCAGGAGCCACCAATGACGTGCTAGCTCACTAGGCCGCGTTCAGGGCTCTGCCTAGGAACTAGGCCGCGACCCAAGGGCAAAAGCAGGTGTGCGCGTTGGAGCGCGCGTTGGAACAGCTGGGCATTCAAGGGCGACAAGAGGTGGTGGGCGCCAAACCCACCCGAGGCCCAACGCCATGCAGCCGAGCAGCGCAGCCGGTGGAACCAAGTGTAGCCGAGCCGTCAAAGAAAGGAGCGCCGCCACAAACTAAGCGGTTGCGCCACCGAACAGCTGGCCGCCCCGCCGGGCGGAGAAGCGCAGGGAGGCGCGAGGGGGGTCAAGTTGGTAAGCCCCCACAGCTCCGGGTGCGTAGCCGACCAGTCCAGGCCGCAGAAACCGCCACGCTAACCACGCTGCAGTCCAAGATGGCGCTGGACTCAGGGCGGCAGCTCCTTTCCATATTCAATCTTCTTATCAACTAAATCTTCCATATTACACCAATGCTTTCCCTGACCAAAGCCTCTTCGATTTCTTCGGACTTTCCCTCATCCTCTCATTCTAACGACTGCTCAACCTCGTGGCCTTTGTTCTGTGGGGTCCCGTTAGATTCCATACTGTCCCCCCATGTTATTTAACATCTACATTAAACTGCTGGGAAATATCATCCAGTGTTCAGTGCCATCTGTACGTAGATGACACACAACTCTACTACTCTTTTCCACTGAATGCCAAGAATGCCGTCCTGATACTGAACCGGTGTCTGTCAGCTGTGATGGCTTGAATGAAGATGAACAAATTGAAACTGAATCCTGACAAGAGAGGTACTCCTGGTCAGTCACAGGGCCAATCAGGGTATAGGATTGCAACCTGTGCTAGATGGGAATCACACTCCCCCTGAAGGCACAGGTCCACAGTTTTGGGTCCTGGACTCAGCGATGTCCCTGGAAGCCCAGATGTCCGTGGTGGCTGGGAGGGGCTTTGCACAGCTAAAGCTTATGCACCAGCTGTGCCTGTACCTTGAAAAGCCTGATCTGGCCATGGTGGTACACGCCTTAGTCACATCCATATTAGATTACTGTAACGCACTCTACATGGGGCTACCCCAGAAGAGTGTTTGGAAGCTTTAACTCGTGCAAAAGTCAGTTCGCAGCTTACTTACAGGAGCAAGGTATAGTGAAAGAACTACCCCTCTTCTAAAACAACTGCACTAGCTACCAATTCAAGGTGCTTTAGCCTATAAAACCCTAAACGTTTCGGGCACAGCCTACTTATTGGACCACATCTCCTCCTATGAGCCCACACAAGCCCTGTGGTCATCAGGAGAGGCCCTACTATCAGTCCCACAATCATCTCAAGGGCAGCTGGTGGAAACAACAGTGAGAGCGCCTTCTCGCTGTTGGCACCGTGGCTCTGGAACTCCCTCCAGAAAGAGGTTAGAATGACCCCCTCCCTACTATCATTCCAGAAGCAAGTAAATATTTTCCTTT